AGAGGTTTGAGGAGACCTGTATACACCTGTAATGCCAATGGTCCGATGATTGACTTTTAGATTTATTTTAGTGACACAAATATCAGAATATTCCAGTTTAACTATATTTAATTCTGCATTTAGAGCTTAAACTTAGAGAAAAAATTATATAATTGATTTTTGATATTCGACTCATATACTTTGGAAAAAGTTGACAAGATATTTATTGGTCTATAGTTATTAATATCATTCGGATCTTCCATTTTGTAAATGGGAACTACTTTAGCTAGTTTTAAAGAATCTGGAAAAATGCCTTTCTCAGTTGATAAATTTAACATAAAACTCAATGGTTTAGTCAATAGAGCAACACACTTTTTAATTAACTTATTATCTAAGCCATCAGTGCTAACTGAAATAGTGTTTTTTAAAGACTGTATTAATTTTAAAACATCATCATCTGAAACAGGAGCCATATAAAATTTTTTTTTATTAGATGTAATGTTTTTATTTAAAAATTTAAAAATTCTACGACACAAACTAAGCTATCTATGGGGGGTTTAGTGAAATTCATATTAAATTTATTTGCCAAGTCAGAATCACTTATCTGGTTACCCTGATCATATAATATAAGTTGGTTATTTGATTTGTTGTTCCTTTTTTGCAATTGACCAATCACTTCCCAGGTAGCTTTAGTCTTATTTTCAGAGCTTAAAATAAGATTATCATAGTATTGCTTGGAGGCCTGTTATAACCTAAGCTTATAAGTATTATTTAACATTTTACTAATTTCAACATATCGTTGATCGTGCTTAGCAAGAGTATTATACAGGGTGTCTGTAAAAGGTCTTTACAAAAACATACCACATATTCCTTAAACCAAAATAAGTCGATTTAAGTAAAATTACCTTAGTACAAAGTTGCTTCGTTTGGGCTCTAGAGGGCCTTGAAGTTACAATTTTTAAATCGTTTTTCCCATATAAATTTAAAACGGCATATGCGATTTTGCTGAAATTTGGTATATTGGTAGAGTTTTATGTGGCAAAAAAATGGTATTAAAATTTTGTCCGATAATAATACATAGGCGTAGAACTTGATTTTTTAAATAATTACACCTTTAAAAATTCTACGCCAATGGAAGAAAAGGAGTTTGAGTATGAAATTTAGATTGCGCAACTCATTTACTTTAAAAAAGGTACTCTTGATAAGACTCGATTACTCTCATGGTTTTCGCTAAATTTCTGTTTTAATAATTTAGAGTGTATAGGTTTCACAAAAATATTTATATACAACATAATCAAAATAGAGATTTTACAAAAATTGTTCAAAATGTTCACCATTTTCACGCATACAAAGATTTATACGTCAAAGAAAATTAAAATGTATCCTTTCCATAACTTCTTTATCACCTCTAAGATAGTTTATTGCATCTTAAATACGTTGCCAGAGTTGTTCCTCATTTTCTACAGGTTCCCTGTAAACTGTGGATTTCAGATGTCCCCATAAAAAGTAATACATCGGTGTCTGGGGAACGTGGTGGCCAGTTTACAGGTGCGTCATTACCTCTGCCTATCCATTTGTGTGGATATTGTTCATTCAAGTGGTTTCTAACGTTTAAAGAAAAATGTGGTGGAGCTCCATCTTGCGTAAACCACATATCTCTCCGAAGTTGGAGAGGTAAATCTTCTAACAATTCTGGCAACGTATTTTGTAGAAAATCCAAATAATTTTCTCCAGTTAATCTTCGTGGAAGTATGACAGGACCAACAATGAAATTACCAATTATTCCAGCCCACACATTAATTTTGAATTCGTGCTGAAAATGGTTTACCTTTATTGCATGCGGATTTTCAACGGCATAAACATGTTCATTATGGGTATTAGTTATACATTTTCTTGTAAAATCCGCTTCATCGGTAAAGAGAACCTTCTTGACAAAGTTTGGATCTCTTTCTCTTTGCATATTAACAAATCGACAAAAACCCAAACGAATTTGAGGATCATGTACTAATAATTCTTGTACTGGCTTCTTATGGTATGGATATAGCAATTGTTCTCTAAGCACTTTATGGACAACATCTTTACTTACCCCTAGTTCCCTTCCAATTCGTCTGGTGCTTAATTCTGGATCTTCTTCAACACGTTCTAAAATGTCTTCTTCAACTTCAGGAATCCTTACAAAACGTTCTCTTCCATTATCAACAGTGTTGGGAGCAAAGGAACCGGTCTCCCGAAGACGTCTCTCAACAGCAGCAAAAGTTGGGTGGCTAGGTACACGACGATTTGGAAACCTTTCAGAGTACACCCTGACACTCTCTCGAGCATTTCCTTCACAAAATCCTAATGTCAGTAACATATCGGTATATTCTGCATTGGTATATTGTACAGCCATATTAATAAACCACGCATTTGTTTTTTTAATTATTGAGTCAGATAGAACACTTTCAATCGTTAACAAGAGATTAGGTGTTAAAACTTGGCAATATTTTTATTTAGATGAAACTATGGAAACCAACAATAAATGTTTTTGTATACGTATTGCAGGCAAATTAATATTCCTCAAAAAATCGCACATGGCAAGAATCGAGTATTTTTGTTAAAAGTCTCGATTAGAGATGTTGAAGAAGATATGAAAAAATTACATTTTTATGTTTTTCATCGTATAAAAATTTGTCCGATATTAATACATAGGCGTAGAACTTGATTTTTTAAATAATTGCACCTTTAAAAATTCTACGCCAATGGCAGAAAAGGGGTTTGAGTATGAAATTTGGATTGGGTACTCATTTACTACAAAAAAGTACCCTTGATAACACTCGATTTACTCTCATGGTTTTGACAAAGTTTGTATTTTAATAATTATTGTTTATGTTCTAAAATTACTAATATGCAAATTTCGTCAAAACCATGAGAGTATTCGAGTCTTATCAAGAGTACCTTTTTTAAAGTAAATGAGTTGCGCAATCTAAATTTCATACTCAAACTCCTTTTCTTCCATTGGCGTAGAATTTTTATGGGTGCAATTATTTAAAAAATCAAGTTCTACGCCTATGTATTATTATCGGACAAAATTTTATTACCATTTTTTTGCCACATAAAACTCTACCAATATACCAAATTTCAGCAAAATCGCATATGCCGTTTTAAATTTATATGGGAAAAATGATTTAAAAATTGTAACTTCAAGGCCCTCTGGAGCCCAAACGAAGCAACTTTGTACTAAGGTAATTTTACTTAAATCGACTTATTTTGGTCTAAGGAATATGTGGTATGTTTTTGTAAAGACCTTTTACAGACACCCTGTATAATGACATATATTTTTTTTAATTTCAGTAAATTTGCATTCCACCTATAGTTATTATTAGGCTTTTTAGTTTTGGGTCTTCGTGTAACTAACTTTTTTGGAAAGGCAGTTTCAAAATAGGATAAAACAATTTCCGCAAATTGATCATAATCTAAATTGGGACAGGTCTGATCCAAAACAATAGTCCAATCTTCAGCCCCTAATAAATTATAAAAATGTTCTATGTTATTTTCAGAATATAAACGCGAAACATATTTAACGGCTGGTTTTTTGTTTTTTTGAGATAAATTCCTAGTGTGGACATCAATACATTGAGAATAGGATCAGATAGATAAAGGTCTACCTCTTTTATATTGTACTGATTAGATGTTCTAACAAATATATTATCAATGCAAGTTGCAGAGTCTTTTGTAACTCTAGTTGGAGTTCTTACACATATTTCAAGATTAAAACTATACAATAAATCCTCTAATAAAGAAAGTTGAGTACAGGGTGCCATAAAATTTACAATAAAATCTCCTCCAATAATTATATTGTAGTTGTTTTCTGAACATACAATTTCGTTTAAAACTAACATAAAATCTTTAAAATTTCCTCCAGAATGTCTAAGCAAATCGTCTTATATAGAGGTAATTGTATACTACAACATTCTAAAATGTTTTCTGTCAAAATAAAAATAATAAAAAATAAAAAATAATAACAAGTAAATATAAAATAAAATAAAAAAAAAAAATAAAACGTACTGATTAACCAGCTCTTAAAAAAGGACTAGGTTTTATGAAACAAATCGAAAGAACCCCAAAAAATGGCGGGGTTTTTAAATTCATAAACTATAAAAGAACTTTTCGAAAAATTTTAAATTGGTACAAAAATTTTACCTCATAGGAACAAATAGTCACATATGATAAACTAGAATGAAAATATATAATACTTGGCATTCTATATTATACTCTTTACAGTTTAACAGACCCCCTTAACCCCCCATATTTAAATAAATTGTTTTCTCCTTATATAGCTTAATTTTTCCTAAAAATTTCTGGTTGATATTATTTTTTGTTTGGGTTAAAAAAAAAAATTATGTTTTAATCCGTCTTAATCCCCCATTTTTGCAAAATTAATAGGCTTTAATCCCTTATAGAGATTGAGTTTTACTAAAAATTTCATGTTGATATTGCTTTTCATTTTTGATTTGATTTTTTTTTAATTTCAACCCTCATAACCCCCACATTTTTATTCATGGGCTTCGTCCCCTTAAAGAGCTTGATTTTCCTGAAATTTTCAAGTAGAAATCGTTTTTCATTTTTGAATTATTATTTTTTTTAAATTAAATTAACACCCTCTTTTTTCCAAATCAAAATTTCAAGCTTTTAATTTGATTTTTTAATATTTCAACCCCTCTAACCCCCCCATTTTTATTCAGTTTTTCTTTTGAATCAATATAGGCTTCAACCCCTTATAGAGCTTTATTTTTACTAAAAATTTCGTGTTGATATTGCTTTTCGTTTTTAGTTTATGATTTTTTTTATTTCAACCCCACTTAATCCCCCATTTTTATTCATAGGATTTGTGCCGTTTAGGAACTTACTCAGCCTACCTCAAAACACTACAAATCGATTTTTCACCAAATAGTTATTAATAAAAAGCAAAAATAGACATAAATTGATGAAACAGCTTTTTTACCATCTTTTTTATAGTATCAAAAAGATTATTCTCTTCCTAGGTCTGTATGGCAGCTGGAAAAGCACCAACTCTAGCAACAGCGGTCAGCAGCAAAGCTTGGTACGGCTGGGTGAGTTCCTCGGTACTAGAAGGCACAAGCAAACCAGTCACAAGCCACCAGTATCCCTTATCGGCTCTAATACCTCTAGAAAGCGAACAAAAAGATACCGGCATAAAGTTATCCAAACACCAAAAGCTACCCAAAGTCATAATCGGCCATAACGTCTCATTCGATAGATCTAAAATAAAAGAACAGTACTGGTTGAACAGAACTGGCACCAGATTCGTAGACACCATGAGTTTACATATATGCGTCGGAGGATTAACCAGTTACCAAAGAGCTATGTTAAAATCTGAAAAAGTTGTTGATGAGGATCAAGATTGGAGGCAATGCAGCTCTTTGAACAATCTGGTCGATGTCTATAACTTGTATTGCGGCAAAAAGATCACTAAGGAAACTAGAGATTTTTTTATTGAAGGCACCATGAAGGATATTAAAGATAATTTCCAAACTGTCATGAATTATTGTGCTGGTGATGTGAAGGCTACGTATGAAGTTTTGAAGGAGTTGTTTCCTTTGTTCTGTGAAAGGTTTCCGCATCCAGTAACATTAGCAGGTACTTACTACATTCTTGATTCTAAATATTGCTTTTCTTCTAAATCATTCCCTACTTGTATTTTTGTATACAAAGGACCCTACACCAGTCTTTAATGATTTTGCATTTTGGTTAATTTTGTACAGTAACTTCTGCTGAATGTTTGTAGTAGACTCTGCTATCAGTTAACGAAAGGTACAGGGTCCTTTAGTTGCTGTATAAGATATATAACCATCATTTACGGTAACCATTTTACTAGGTATGCTAGAACTGAGCACCGCCTACTTACCAGTTAACTCCAATTGGCCAAGATACATAGAAGAATCTGAAGAAGCTTACGACGACCTCGAGAACACCGGTAAAATCCTTTTAGCCCACAGAGCCGACCAGGCTTGTCAACTCTTACACAACGAAAAGTACAAAGAAGATCTGTGGATGTGGGATCAAGATTGGACCGTTAAAGACATCAAAATGAAAAAATTTCCCAATAAGAAGAAGAAACAAGAAGAGGAAACGGTAGAATCGAAAGATGAAGACGATGAAGTTGATCCTCTTGAAGAGAAATTTAAATGTTTGTGGGGAACTAAAGAATGCTTACCGGCTGTAAAAGTTTTACTACCTGGTTACCCGAATTGGTATAGAAAATTATGTACCAAGCCTGATTCATCACCTAATTGGGTACCAGGACCGGTACTGATTAGTACGTCCATGCAGATCACTCCTAAATTATTATCCCTGACGTGGGAAGGTTATCCATTGCATTACCTACGAGAAAAAGGTTGGGGTTTCTTAGTTCCATTCTCAGACGATTTAGAACTAGAGAGAAAATTACCATTGAAGCAGTTACTAGAAAAATGTCCCCTACTGTTAACCAAACCGGGTGGCGCCCAACACGAAACGATGTTAACCTTACGAAAGTCTGTAGAAGAAAACCTATCGAAAAAAGATTATTACTCACGTTTAAAAAAAGACAAAACCGATGGGTTATACAAAGGTACGGGGATATTCTGCGACATCGATATTGAAGACTGTTGCTACTTCTTCAAGTTGCCGCACAAGGATGGACCCGGTTGTAACGTGGGGAATCCCTTGGCTAAGGATTTTTTGAATAAGTTTTCCGAGAACGTTTTGGCTGGTGATACGGAAAGTGCAGAGCAAGTGCTGGAAATCGCGAAAAAATTGTCGTATTGGAGGAACAATAGGAATAGGATACTGGATCAGATGGTCGTGTGGCTGAGCGATGAGAATTTGCCGAAATATTTACGAAGTAAAGGTAATATTTAATTATAATAATGCAATATGTTGATTTTTTAATAATATTTAATAATATTTAATATCTATTTAATAATATAATATTATTAATAATAAAATATTGTCCTATAAAGGCAAAGATTAGATAAGTGACAGTTCTTCAACCCTTTACCTTTTTAGGTTACAGAGAGAGAGAAAAAACAATATAGAATTAAATTTAACATATAGTAGATTAAGTAAAAAACTTATGTAAAAACTAAAATGTTCGTCCAATTTTAATCGAGCGTCATGAATAGGTAGCCAGTAGTTTAAATGTACCAAGCTCAAAAAACGATAGTTCAAAAGTGCAAGGTTTAAAAACGCATAAAATGTACCACTTTGAATAATAATAGTAGTTCAAATAATTCGATTTTTATTAATTATTTATCTGTTGTTAAAGGTGTTAGTTCAAATGTACAAAATTTCGAAACAAAATTATGTAAGAACATCTCTATTAAATGTTTCTTAGAACTTTGTCTTAAAATATTGGACCATCATTACAGAACACCCTGAACATTTCAAGTTTGAAATAATGATTATTCTAATTGGACTTTACCAAGGATAAAAAAAGTAGTTCAAGGGTACCAGGTTCAAAAATACATCAAATGTATAAGTTTCAACAATAGTAGTTCAAATATCTCATATTTCTGACTAATTGTGGGTTTTTAAAGTTATTAGTTCAAATTGACTGTTATTAAAACGAGTAGTTCAAATGTATCAATTTCAAAAATCGGATTTTTGATAAATTAACAGGTTTTTAAACGAGTAGTTCAAATGTTTTGCGTTTAAAAATCGTTAATGTTAAATTGACGATTATTAAAGCGAGTAGTTCAAATGTATACATCACAAAAATCGTATTTTTGATAAATTAGGGATTTAAATGAGTAGTTCAAATGTATCACGTTCAAAAATCTATTTTAGAAAAATTTACGATTATTACAGCCAATAGTTCATATGTATAAATTTAAAAATGTATTTTTGATAAATTGACGGTTATTAAAACGAGTAGTTCAAATGTATAAATTTAAAAAATCTTATTTTTGATCATGAGAAGGTGTTTAAACGAGTAATTCATATGTATCATATTCAAAAATTGAATATTTAATAAAGTAACAGTTATTAAAGCGAGTAGTTCAAATGTATCAAATTTGAAAATCGTATTTTTAATAAATTTATGGTTATTAAAGTGAGTAGTTCAAATGTATACATTTCAAAAATCGTATTTTCGATAAATTGGCGATTATTAAAGTGAATAGTTCAAATATATCACGTTTAAAAATCGTATTTGTGATAAATTAACGGTTATTAAAGCTAGTAGTTCAAATTATCACGTTCAAAAATTTTATTTTTTTGTATAAATTATTAAAGTAAATAGTTCAAATGTACTACGTTAAAAATCGTATTTTTATATACTCAACAGTAGTTCAAATATGTCGCATTCAAGAATCGTATTTTTGATTAAATAAGGGGTTCTTAAAGCAAGTAGTTCAAATATACCAGATTCAAAAATAATATAAATATCGTTTTACTGACAAATTATCGATTATAGCGAATAGTTCAAATGTACCATCAACAATCCTATTTATGACAATATATTAGTTGAAAAAGTGAATAATTCAAACGTACCACGTTTAATAATCGTTTTTTAAATAAATTAATAATTATTAAAGCGAGTAGTTCAAATATACCAAGTAAAAAATCGTGTTTGGTATAAGCTAACAGTGGTTAAAATGATTAGTTCAAACATAGCACTTTCAAAAAACGTATGTTTGATAAATAGTTCAAATATAACACGTTTAAAAACAAAATTATCTTTCGATGAGTTAATGATTTTAAATGGGTAGTTCATGTATTCCGCGGTCAAAACCTAGTTCCAATATACCAGGTTCAAAAATAGATCGAAAGTACCACAATAGTAGTAGAAATATCTTCTAGTTTTGACCAATTATCGGTGTTTAAATTTATTAGTTCAAATAAACCAAGTCAAAAATCGTGTTTGGAATAAACTAACAGTGGTTAAAGTGATTAGTTCAAACGTAGAACTTTCAAAAAACGTATGTTTGATAAATTAACGCCTATTAAATCTAGTAGTTCAAATGTACCACGTTCAAAAATAGGATTATCTTACTTCCGACGAGTTAATAGATATTTAGATGGTTAGTTCATGTGTTCCAAGGCCAAAACCTAGTTCCAATATACCAGGTTCAAAAATAGATCGAATGTACCACAATAGTAGTAGAAATTCCTTGTATTTTTGACTAATTATCTATCGGTGTTTAAAGCTATTAGTTCAAATATGCCAAGTCAAAAATCGTGTTTGGTATGTACTAATAGCGGTTAAAGTGATTGGTTCAAACGTAGAACTTAAAAAAAACGTATATTTGATAAATTAACGCTTATTAAATATAGTAGTTCAAATGTACCACGTTCAAAAATAGGATTATCTAAGTTCTGACGAGTTAATGGATGGGTAGGCCTTGTTTACCGGTGTCAAAAACTAGTTTCAATGTTCAGGTTCAAAAGTAGATCAAATAGTAATTAAAATAATTCATATTTTTGACTAATTATCGATCATTAAAGCTATTAGTTCAAATATACCAAGTCAAAAATCGTGTTTGGTATAAACTAATAGTTATTAAAGTGAGTAGTTCAAACGTACCATCTTTAAACAAACGTGTGTTTGATACATTAAAGCTAGTAGGTCAGATGTATTACTATCAGAAATATAATTATCTTCCGATGATAAAATAAATAAAAATAAATAAATAAAAACAAATATAAATTAATAAAATATTCATAGATAAACGATAAAAATCGATAAAAATCCGTAAGAATCGATAAAAATCCGTAAAAATCGATAAAAATTCTGGCTAGTAGGTCAAATGTATCTCGTTCAGAAATATAATTATCTTACTTTCGATGAGTTCACAGATATTTTAAATAAAAATAAATAAATTGAAAAATAAATGAAAATATGTGAAAATAAATAGAAAGAAATAAAAATAAATAAAAAAATAGATAAAAAGAAATGGAAATAAACAAAATGAAATTAAAATAAATAAAAAATTAATATGTGAAATAAAAAATAAATAAAGGATAAAAAGAAATGGAAATAAACAAAATGAAATTTAAATAAAAATAAATAAAAATAAATAAAAATAAAAAAAAAATAAAAAAAAAATAAAAATAAATAGAAACAAATAAAAATTAAAATATTCATCGGTAAACGATAAAAATCGATAAAAATCCGTAAAAATCGATAAAAACCGATAAAATATCGTAAAAATCAACAATAAAAAAGAATAAAAATTAAAAAAATAAAATAAATATTAATAAAAACAAACCAATAAAAATGAAAAACAAAAAATAAATGAAATGAAAAACAAAAAATAAATGAAATAAAATAAAAAAAAATGAAAAATAAAATAAATTAAATAAAAAAAGAAATAAAAAATAAGTTACGGCTCGCTCTGGCATGAGAAATCATAGGGGTGAATTGTTAAAAATATCTTGATGTCCCGATACCTCGACAGCCTAGTCCCCTCTTGAAGCAACATTGCCATTGTTGCACATATATCGTGCTTGCGATAATACAATTTTTTAAATTCTGTATCTTTTTTATTTTTGAGTTTTTTAAAAACGTTATTTGAAAAAAAAATGTTTACTTTAATGACTTCTATACACGGTTTAAAAAAGTATTACATTAAGATTCACTATGCATAAAATCGTTAGAAAATAGTTACATACAATATTTTTTCTACTACCGTACATATTATCCACTAATATTAGAAATAAAAAAGTGTGGGGATGGCCTGCGGATACCTTCTAATATTAAATAAAACAATGGTTTCTATTCAAAACTTGTAATTTCTAAATGACCTCACGCCATGACATATCAAACTCATCTCTTTCGAACATCTTTCTTTGCTTGACATTGACAACTGACTTACAACTTAGAACTAAAATTACAGAATATTAACAAATGAAAAGCGGACCATTCTTATTAAACGTCTAAGGGCCGATTCCACCGTGTGTTAAACGGAGATTAAAATGACGTTGTTAATGTAAAAAATGTCATTTTAAACTTCGTTTAACACAACGGTGAAATCGGTCCTAACTACTGGTGTACAAGATCACCAAAAGTAAAAGAAGAAGAGCACACTTATTTGAAATTTCGCGGGGAGGGAATACTACAAAAGTTACTTTTTTTACTTTACGCACTAGTGAAAAAAAGTAGGAGTGCGTAAAGTATGTACTTTACGCACGGTAGTAAAAAATTTGTTTTTCGCAAAAAATGAACGTCATGATCGGATCATAACTATAATAGGACTGTTCCAACAACGATCCGAAACCAGTCATTGATGCCAGGATTGTGCGCAGTATGAATTTGGCGGTCTAAATAATCTACTGCGCAATATTATGGTGGCAATGACTGGTTTCTGATCGTTATTGAAACATCTAATGTATTTTTTTTTTATTTATTTCCAGACTACCTTCTCGGCGCCATCCTCCCGCAAGTAGTAGTATGCGGCACTCTAACCCGCCGAGCGGTCGAACCAACATGGATGACCGCATCGAACGCCCAATCCGAACGAATCGGTTCCGAATTGCGCGCCATGGTCCAAGCCCCGCCCGGCTACAACATAGTCGGCGCCGACGTAGACTCCCAAGAACTCTGGATCGCTTCCGTAATCGGCGACGCGGATCAAGCCAAAATGCACGGCGCAACTCCATTCGGATGGATGACTTTAAGCGGGAACAAATCCGCCGGTACCGACATGCATAGCGTTACCGCTAAAGCCGTTGGAATCAGTAGAGACCACGCTAAAGTTATTAATTACGCTAGAATATACGGCGCGGGTCAAAATTTCGCTGAAAGGCTGTTGAAACAGTTCAATCCTAGCATTTCAGAACGCGAAGCGAGGAGTAAAGCTCAGAAGATGTTTACGTTGACTAAAGGGAAGAAAACTTACTGTCTAAAATCGGATTTTATAATGGATTTCACCGATAGACCTTACTCGAAATGGGAAGCTTTTAACCTAGCCAAAGCCTGCGGGAAAACTTTAGACGAAATGTTTCACAAATCGAAATGGATCGGCGGTACCGAATCCGCGATGTTCAACAAATTAGAAGAAATCGCCAACAATCCGCAACCGGTAACGCCGTTTTTGAACGGTAGATTAAGCCGAGCTCTAGAACCGAAATCCGATGCCGAAGACAAATACCTACCGACCAGAGTCAACTGGGTGGTCCAAAGTGGCGCGGCGGATTTTCTGCATTTAATGCTGGTCTGCATGCGATGGATAACCGAAGATAAAATCCGATTCTGTCTGAGTTTCCACGACGAAGTACGGTATTTAGTACCGGAAGAATATAAATACCAATCGGCGCTTGCATTACACACGACCAATCTGTTAACGCGAGCTTTCTGTTCGTATCGATTGGGGTTGAGGGATTTGCCGCAATCCGTAGCGTTTTTTTCTTCAGTCGAAGTGGATACGGTGCTGAGGAAGGAATCGAAGCAGGATTGCGTGACGCCGTCGAACCCGCACGGGTTGAGTAAAGGTTACGGGATACCGAATGGCGAAGCGTTGGATATTCACGAGGCTGTGGAAAAGGCGGGTGGAAGGTTTGATTGTTGGTATCGATCAAAATTCGATAAGAAAAAGGTGAATATTCTGGTGTGTTCGTAACGGTAATGCGATTTTGGTTTCTATAACAATTTATTCATAATTTTTATTTACTAATAGCTTTTTCGATTTCAGTGCTCGGCTTGCTTTGAGAGCATACGAAAGGTGGGAGATATGTCAATACCAGTTACTTTTCACTCTAAAAAGTAACCGGTATCGATATATCGTTAATCTTTTATGTGCACTCCCCGCAGACAGGGCAGTGGAATCGAAAATTCTATAAAATAGGTACATTTTTTATATACACAAATATATAGTATAATTCAAATCTCAATTTGCAAATAGTATCATAAAAAAAAACATTCGCGAATGAAAAACCTGAGCATGGGCAATATTTTTTTTTTTATATAAAAGTTTGAATTATTTTAAATTAATATAAACAAAAAAACTTTATTTACAAGTTTAATAATAGAACAGCAATATGAGTAATAAATAATATAAATAAAACATGAAAGAATATTTTTTACAGATATGTTTGCTGATTTTGAATGATATATTTATTTTATTAGATAGGTAGTTTTTTTATATCTCCAGAATATAGGTGTTTAAATAAAATATGTCTGATAAATTATCGGGTTATTAAAGTAGTTCAAATCTACAACGTCAAATAATCGAATTTTTTTTTCTGATAAACTAAAGGTTATTAAAACGAGTAGTTCAAATGTATCACGTTCAAAAATCGATTATTTGACAAAGTAACGATTATTAAAGCGAGTAGTTCAAATGCATCAAGTTTAAAACTCGTATTTCTGATTAAATAACTGTTACTAAAGCGAGTAGTTCAAATGTATCACGTTTAAAAATCGTATTTTTGATAAATTAACGATTATTAAAGCGAGTAGTGCAAATGTATCGCGTCCAAAAATCGTACTTTTGGATAAATTAACGATTATTAAAGCGAGTAGTTCAAATGTATCTCGTTTAAAAATAGTTTTTTGATAAATTAACGGCCATTGAAACGAGTAGTTCAAATGTATCACGTTAAAAATCGTACTTTTGATCAATTGAAAGTTATTAAGGCGAGTAGTTCAAATGTATCTCGTTTAAAAATAGTTTTTTGATAAATTAACGGCCATTAAAACGAGTAGTTCAAATGTATCACGTTAAAAATCGTACTTTTGATCAATTGAAAATTATTAAAGTGAGCAGTTCAACTGTATCACATTAAAAAAAATGTTGTGTTGATAAATTAACGATTATTAAAACGAGTAGTTCAAATGTATCTTGTTTAAAAATAGTTTTTTAATAAATTAACGATTATTAAAGCGAGTAGTGCAAATGTATCGCGTCCAAAAATCGTACTTTTGGATAAATTAACGATTATTAAAGCGAGTAGTTCATATGTATCTCGTTTAAAAATAGTTTTTTGATAAATTCACGGCTATTAAAACGAGTAGTTCAAATGTATCACGTTAAAAAATCGCACTTTTGATCAATTAACGATTATTAAAGCGAGTAGTGCAAATGTATCGCATCCAAAAATCGTACTTTTGATTAAATTAACGATTATTAAAGTGAGTAGTTCAAATGTATCTCGTTTAAAAATAGTTTTTTGATAAATTAACGGCTATTTAAACGAGTAGTTCAAATGTATGACGTTAAAAATCGTACTTTTTATCAATTGATTATTAAAGCGAGTAGTTTAAATGTATCACGTCCAAAAATCATATTTTTGCTAAATTAACGATTAATAAAGCAAGTAGTTCAAATGTATAATTTCTTCCAAAATTGATTAAAAAATTTACTATTAAATTAAGAGAGTAGTTCACAAATGTGTCACGTTTAAAAATCGTATTTTTGATAAATTAAGAGGGGTTTAAACAAGTAGTTCATATGTATCACGTTCAAAAATCGAATATTTGAGAAAGTAACTGTTTTCAAATTTAAAAATTGTATTTTTAATAAATTTAAGGTTATTAAAGCCATTAGTTCAAATGTATCAAATTTAAAAATCGCATTTTTGATAAATTTAAGGTTATTAAAGCCATTAGTTCAAATGTATCAAATTTAAAAATCGTATTTTTGATAAATTTATGGTTATTAAAGGGAGTAGTTCAAATGTATACATTTCAAAAATCGCATTTTTGATAAATTAACGATTATTAAAGGGAGTAGTTCAAATGTATCACGTTTAAAAAATCATATTTTTTATTAACTAACTGTTGTTAAAACGAGTAGTTCAAATATGTCACCTTCAAGAATCGTATTTTTGATTAAATAAGGGGTTATTAAAGCAAGTAGTTCAAATGTATCACGTTCAGAAATCACATTTCTGGTAAATAAACAGTTGTTTTGTGAATAATTCGAACATCACATTTAAAAATCCTTTTTTAATAATTTAACTATTAAAATGAGTAGTTTAAATGTACCATATTAAGAATAAAGTTTATATTATTTCCAATGAGTTAACAGGTATCCAGAGGATTAGTTCATGTGTGCTCTGCTAAAAAATATATCTCTTTCAACAATAGGAGTTCTGACAAATTGGTTACTAAAGCGAATAGTTCAAATATACCACGTTCAATAATAGTTTTAGATAAGTTAACAATCATTTAAGCAAGTAGTTCAAAAGTACCAGGTTCAAAAATAATATTCTACCGACAAATTATCGGTTATTATAGCAAATAGTTCAAATGTACCATCAACAATCGTATTTATGACAATATTTTAGTTAGAAAAGGCGAATAGTTCAAAGTTACCACGTTCAATAATCGTTTTCTAAATAAATTAATGATTATTAAAGCGAGTAGTTCAAATATACCATGTCAAAAATGGTGTTTGGGATTATTAACAGTTGTTAAAGTAAATAGTTCAAACATATCATATTTTAAATAAATTAACGATTAAGGTGAGTAATTTAAACGCGCCATATTTAAAAAATGGGGTATCTAAATGAGTAGTTCAAATGTGCTATGATTAAAAACAGCAGTTTAAATGTAAATACTGGTTCAAAAAAGAGAATAAATGCCATTTTCAACAATAATAATTTTTGGCAAACTAACATTTAGTCAGTAGTTCAAACGTATCACATTCAACAATAGATTTTAATAAATGGATCGTTATTAAAGCGAGTAGTTCAAATGTACAATTTTAAAAAATAACATTGTCTTTGTTAGGTCCAATTTTTCACATAACATATTTTAAACTTTATCCAGTGAGCTGGCACCAAACTGGAGGCGAAGGAGTGGAAGGTAGGCGACGCAGAAATGTCTGTAATTGTTTCAAAGCTGCTCTTAAAAGTCATTGTAATTTTTTATCCAACAGCTGAAAATTAAAGTAAAAATGCAGTTAAAAAAGTTTTAATTTACAGTGTCGGCTATTGAACGCTTTCCAATACGTTTTAAAGTGAATAGTTCAGTAATCGTATTTTTTATATATTAAAGCGAGTGGTTCGAATGAACTACGTTCAAAAATATGATAATTTTATTTTCGATGAGTTAACAGATATTCAAGTAAGTAGTTCAAATGTACCGCGGCCAAAAACAGTAATTTAAATATACTATGTTTCAGAGTAGTAAAATACAATTTTCAAATATCGTATTATTAAACGGAATAGTTCGAATGTACCAGGTCAAAAATTGCATTTCTGATAGATCATTGTTAAAATGAATAGATCAAACACATGTTCAAAAATCATATATTTCATAAATTAACGGTTATTAAAGTAGTAAAAATAGGATTATATTATTTTCAATGAGTTAACAGATATTCAGTTGGTTAGTTCAAATATCTACTGGCACCAATAGTAGTTGAAATATACCACGCCGATTCTTCGTCTTCGGCGATTAGTCAACATTTCCCCATTGATTGTCTGATGCCATTTAATGTAAGAGGTCTAGAAAAATTGCTTCTTCTTTTTCTTGGGTTTGACAACTTACTTTCAGAGCTAGTAGCTCCATATATACAGTGTGTCTCAGAATTGCATAGACAGTAGGTGTAAGTGCCATGGCAAAAAAAATTGAAAATTTCAGCCCTACTGTAAATCTGATATTCCCCAAATATAAATGAAATTTTTGAAAAATGTATATGAATAAACAATTTACATTAGTTGTTTTTAAATAAGATACAAAAACAATATTAATAAAAGCTGTTTTGAATTGTTCGGGTTTATTTAGTATTCAATTTCATTCTTATATTGGTATTAATTTTAAGGAGGACTCAACATTTTTTGGTCTTTTATATCTATTGCTAAGCAATTTCTGCAATGAAAGTGCAATTATATGTATAAAAATTAAAAATAGTCTTTATTGAGAAAAAAAAAGACTAATATTATAAATATAATCTTAATACAAAAATATCCTCATTCAGACGTACTATTGGTTGCCTCAGCGCTCTCATTTCTCCTTCTCAGTATCCTAGTAATATTCTCACCTTGATTAATTTCTTTAAACAACGCCGCGTGATCGTAATTTCTAAATTCAGTCTTATCGCCTAGAACCGCTTGCGTAGGCAAATTTTCGGTACCGTGCCACACCAAACCGGTTTTGAAATTCGTTAAAACACTTTCAGAAAACTCCTCCAAAATCCTAGTCCAAGTTTCCAACCATCTGGATAATTTCACTCCGAAACTAGAGTCTCGATATATGTCTTTGTAAGCGATAATGTAATCGCTAAATCGTTCCACGAACACTTCCAAATCAGATTCTTTCATCCAGTGAAAAATATCGACGGAATCGCTGATGTAGTGCAAATACGAACAATCCCTTCCATTTTCGATGGTGAAATTTTTAATGATGTTGATTTGTTTGGCTATGGGTTCTAAAAAGATGTCCTCTTCTTGTGGGTGAACTGGTTTCTTGTATTTTTGTAAGATTTGCATTAAATTGATCTCCAGCTTGAACAAACTGTTGACCAATACGCTTTGCTCTTTTACCATGGCTCCGAGGCTGTTAGAAGCCGTTATGTATTCCGCAAACGTTCCTATGTATATATCTCTTAGACAATCTGACACATTCATAATTTTGAGTGTCGAGATCTTTGATTGACGTTGAACATGTGTGATGTTGCGTTACGGCTTTAAATGCTGATTTAACAATGACATATATAGTTTAAATAGACTGCTTATCCATACGTAAATAAAACGATGAAAAGCGGGTCGAACTGGGAGATGTTTTCTCTTTGTCTAGTGCATGCAATGTTTGTGTTTTGTCTCAATTTTGAGTGCTCACTGGTAAACAAAACTTTCACAGGACCGGTTTTAAAGAAAGTTTAGTCTAGTTGAGATTTTGTTCTCATTGTCATTACTCAGTCGGACATTTTGTTGAGTTGTTTATTTTATTTAGTTTTAATTATACTTATGTTCTGTTTTAAATTTTTTAATTATTTGAGTATAAAAACTTGTTTTGTTTTTAAATTTAAATGGTGAATTGCTCTATAAGGGGTTGTAAGACCAGCTACAGAAATATAAAAAGTAACATTTCATTTTTCACGCAAGTATCAATACAAGTAGGTACAAGGTAAATACGTTTATAATAATTTTATGAATTATAATTAATTATAATAATAATATTATTAATAAAGTATTTATTGTAAATACAATTTCATAAATATTATTATATTCAAAGACCCGAGTTAGAGCTATTTGGGCTTTACAAGTACATTTTAAAATTTAGTTAGATACAGAGAAGTATCGTATAATAAAAACAATATAAATAGAAGAAAAACGAACATAAGTACCAATACAAAGAGACAAACACTTTTATTCTTTGATAGGACTTTTCCATGTGAATTCTAGCTCTGGCAATTTTGGCATTAAGTAAAGCCTCTTGATGGCTGAACTAATTTTTTTTAATGAGGAAAGGAGGCTGTATAATTTGTATACCTTCAGCTTCTGTTATGTTTCCAATAAGAAAACCTTTGTTAAACATTTTACTATCGAGAAATGATTCACACACTTCAAGTATTGAACTTTGTTAAAAAATGTCTATTTCTGAAGTTCTACCACCATATGCTTCACTTTTGTAAGTAATGAGACCAGTAGGTGACACTCCAGTCAATATTTTAATAGTATGCTTCTTTTTGTAGTCAGAGCAATTTTTTAGCCTACAACAAAGACATTTGGCTTGCTGTATTGGGATTTCGGTACAATCAAGTAGTACTCTTACTTACATAGAGGCACATTATTTAATATTTCTTGTTTTGAAGGCCGAATTATACCATACTAAGAACTTCTACCAGTTTTATTAAAAAATGTTAAAAAATTTAATGATAAAAAGTTTCATTCACTCCAAATAAAATGGATAAGACATTATATCTTGCATATCAGTTTTCAACTTCATAAAAGTAAATATAACTTGATCCTTTACAGACATAACTGATCTCCTTTTTCCTATTCTTTAGAAACAACGAATTCCACAATGGTGGCTAATAACTGGAAGGATTACAATCCTATAAAAGTAGATAGTTCTTTAGCACTGACAATTCTGTTTGAAAACGGATCAACTAAATCACCACTCTTCACTTGTGTTGAACAATCGATCCCAATTTTCTACTTTTAAACGAAGTTTTGTAAATTAAGCAAAGCTCTTCAGCTGCACACAAATCTTCATTATCTGCTTCAGTAGTAGATATATGTTCATTAACTGCAAAAACACATTAAACATAATAATTATTAACCAAACATTTTAAATTATGCATACGTACATCCATTGCCTGAAGAAGATAACTCAACACTTGACATTCTACTAGTACTGGCAACATATCAATATTTAAGATAATAACCATAATTCTTGTTTTAGCTGGATTACTTTTCTTTTTATTAATAGTCGTTTTCTTTTTACCACTAATCCGAGCTAACTTACATCGACTAAGCTTAGTTGTACGTTCTTTTTGTGATTGTAAGTCAGAATCTTTCTTTCCCCCTTTACCGATGCTAAACGGATCTTGACGTCAACTAAGATTGCACTTTGTACCTAGTTCATTTTACTATGATGTTGATCAGATTTCCACTGATGGAATCTTAATATTATTCATCAAATCATTCACATTCACCGCCAAAATAATCCTTAATTGTCTAAAGGGAACAAACTTTAGAATGTGAAAAAGCTACTAACTTTTAGTAAAATCTTTAAAAAGTTCATTCAATTTTTGCATAATATCTGCTTTTATAATGCGAAATAAATTTTAAAAGAATAATCAAGTGTCCGAATAGTGCCACTATACAGTGGTCGTGGTCTAAAGTTAGTTATATACACATGAGTGTAAAATTGTTTATAGCTATCTTCAAAATTGGTTAGATCTCTTAAAATGTTTTGAAAATTGGGAAACTAGACGTTATGACTCAAAATCCTTTTTTAAAATATCTAACGCAAGCTCCTGTCTTGAAATAAACATACAGATAATTTTTTTTTAATTCAATTCCTACTTTGATGAAATATGAGTTTTAAACTCATTTGGGCCAGACCGATTCTGCCTGGTGAGCACTCGGCAAGCCAAGCAATATGACCCGCTTTTCGTCATCTTGTTTATATATGGATGAGCAGTCTATTAATCTATATATGTCATTGTGATTTAACTATGACTGATTCTTTTGGGAACCTTTTTTTTTTTGATAGGTTGTTCAAAGTACGTGATTATTTACATGTATATGAGTAAAACCAAATTAAATAACTCCAAAAAGTAATTATTGATATTTACTGACTCTGTAATTAAATGAAACGTTATCAGTAACAATAAATAATTAAAATCATCAACAAAATGTTCCAAATAAACAAATTTATTGCAATATCTAATAAACCATATCTTTAAATGAAAGTCGTCAACAAAATGTTCCAAATAAATCAAATGTATTGCAATATTTAATTAGCAATATATTTAGATATGCCCAAATAATCGATTATTCAATTACTCGATTAATTTTTAAAATCTATTATCGATTTTTTTTGGTTAATCGATTTATCGATTAATTATTATTACTAGACTGATTTTTTTTTGTCAATTAATTTCTTCGATAAATCGATGCATGTCTGTTTGAATCCATAGTTTCGTATCGCTTTTCGTAGACCAGTCGATCGCATTTCTAGAAGTACATGCCACGTTTGCCAGTGAATGTATTTGTCACACAAAATTATGGTCTGGTAATTAGGATTGTTCAGAAAATGAAGGAAGACTGCCAAACTTTAAAGAAGCATTTAACAACAGCGCCAATATTAGGCTATCCACTACCAGAGGGAGAATTTATCTTGGATACTGATGCCAGTAATGTGGGAATTGGAGGAGTGCTTTCACAGATTCAAGGGGGAAAAGAAAGAGTACTGGGTTATTTTAGTAAAGTGCTCTCGAAACCTGAGCGAAATTACTGCGTCACGAGAAGAGAACTCCTGGCAGTTGTGAAATGCGTGGAACACTTCTACCAATACCTATATGGAAGGAAATTCTTAATCCGTACCGATCATGCCGCTCTTAAGTGGTTGATGCAGTTCAAAAACCCGGAGGGTCAAATCACCAGATGGATTGAACGACTTCAAGAGTACGACTTTAAGATCGAACATAGAGTCGGGATAAGACACAGAAATGTCGATTCTCTTTCTAGAAGACCATGTCCAGCAGAGTGCTCCCACTGCAACAAAGCGGAATCCAAAGAAAGTGGACTACTAAGAACAACGGTGAGTGGGCCCCTTCTAAAATTAGAGAAGAACAAGAGAACGATATCGTTCTAAAGAAGGAGCGACAATGGAAAGAGGAAAATCGTCGACCTACTTGGCAAGAAGTATCTAATCTCTCTTCAGTACTTAAGTCGTATTTGGTTCAGTGATTCCTTTATCCTGGAAGATGGCTTATTAAAACGAGTACTTGAAAATGATGATGGTTCCGAGAAAGGAAGACAGTTGGTCATTCCAAGGAGTAGAGTATCCGAAGTACTTCGGCAGTTACGACAGTCCTTCAGGAGGACATCTCGGTGAAAACCCTTCAGAGAGTTCGTGAAAGGTTTTATTGGATTAACAGTTCCGATGATGTAAAGGACTGGTGTAAGAAATGTACCAGCTGTGCTGTGAGTAATGGACCTCAGCGAAAACGGAAGGCTCCCATGAAGCAATACAACGTTGGTGGCCCATTTGAGAGGATTGTCTTAGATATTGCTGGACCATTCCCCATGACCGAAAATGGTAATAAATACATGATGGTGGTTATGGATTATTTCACGAAGTGGGTGGAAGTCTACGCCATTCCAAATCAAGAGGCCGCAACTGTTACATATTGTTACGGTTCAAAATCCATATGAATGTACTGGGATGCTTTTACCACAAAAATACTATATATAGTATTGACATTTAACTTTTAATTTACTCTAATTTATTATTTAAGTATAATAGGAATAAAATCTATTAAAAGCTCACTCCGTATACACCGTTTTGGCTAGAAGTTTAATAGAAGATCCATTTCTCATGTTCTGTGAGTTAACTAGAATAAAAAAATACCTTTTATAAGTCCATTGTCAAATTGGAAATTGTAGAAGTTTAACCTTTTATCAAGTATTTCTTTCTTGTTTTGAATATTCGTTCTGGTCCTCTGTAGATATATTTTCCATTGTTTTTCTTAATTAGTTTGTAGTTGAGTTCTAGGAGCCTAAAAGGGACAAAGAAACGTTTTGAATTCTATAAATGGTTTCAGGGTTCATTTTCTTTGTTTATTTACATTAATTATGACATTATGTCATTCAAATTTATTCAGGTAATTGTCTAATTCATTACAAATAATTAAAACCCCAAATAATCTAGGTAATTTTGGAATTAAGTAGGTGATTGTGAGAAATTGGCTAATAATATTTTAAATTACCTGTCATATTTTATTTTCATTTCCTGTAGAAGTCATTAATTTTGTCGGTGCATATCCTTCCACCATTTTTCATTCTTCTAGTATCCCTTCATGGAACATGTGTTTTTGAAGATCTTTTTATAAGGATATGAGATACTAGAAACGAAAAGACTGATTAAAAATTTATTTAGTAGTACTATTTGTTAGTATACTTAAACTCATAAGAGGATTTTATTTTCAATTAAGCAAAAAGAACTTACTTCTTAAAAAGGCCACCTTTCACCTCAGGTAAACCGAATCAGACATTCAGCCAAATTCTAGAATAAAAGGAAAAATCCCTACGACCCTCTCTCTGACTGGGCAGTGAGAATTAATTACCACATTATATATTGTTTTGCTCTGAAGGTCATAGCAATATGTGTTGATAAAAGAGTTTATTTGTCGATTTGGAGAGCCACAGTGATCAAGGCAGAAATTTTGAAAGCCAACTCTTCCGTGGAGTCTGTAACAGACTAGGCATGAAGAAAACCAGAACCACAGCATTGCACCCACAATCAGATGGAATGGTAGAACGAATGAATAAGACCATTGGCAAATATCTATCAGAAGTAGTTACAAACCATCAGCGAGATTGGGATCAGTATCTTTCGCTCTTTGCAATGGCTTATAGATCCGCTGTCAATGAATCAACAGGCCAAACACCAGCAAAGGTCCTGTTTGGGCGTGAGATGAGACTACCGTGCGACCTCGAGTTTAGATGCCGACCTGGAGAAGATGTAGCTGGTGAACATTATGTGATCCAGTTACGAAGAAGAATGGACGACATGCATGAATTGGTCCGCTCGCATCTTCAAATCGCCAGTGACAGAATGAAGAAGCGATACGATACCCAAGCCACAGAAGGATGTTTCAAGGAAGGCGACAAAGTCTGGCTCCATAACCCAAAAGGGTTATTCTCCGAAGCTTCAAAGGTCTTGGGAAGGTCCGTATCTCATCAAGAACAAAAATCAATGATGTCATTTACCGTTTAAGTAAGAGCCCGAACGGTAAACCAAAGGTAGTGCACCAAAACCGGTTGGCGCCATTTGAGGGAGACCATGAAGAGGAAGAAGAAGTAAACCAACTCCAAGAAACACCTGACCTTGTCTTTGAAGAATTTATGGGTGCATGTGGAGGTACCGGAACAGCGAGACACGGTGTTACAATCGAGCAACAACAACACCTGCTCACGGTTCCAAAAGACTATTTTCTGGTCCATAGCACTTCCGCCAACATCTACGAATCTGTATTCCGGAAGAAGTTTGGTCGATTGCCAGAACTTCAGTTACCAGCTCCTGGAAAAGCATTAAAACTTCAAGATGGATCGCGTTATCTTTTTTCTTTGGTAACAAATACCTTCCGAGATCGATCCACCTATCAGGATGTATGGGAAGCATTATTCAGTTTGAGGGAGCATGTATTGGAATCTAATGTACAAAAACTAGATATGCCAAAGATAGAGAGCAAGCAGCTGAATTGGAGGATCATTAGAAATATGGTGGAAGTAATCTTCCAAGATGCTCAGGTTGAAATACTGATCTGCAGCCATTCTCCCAGCGTTCAGGTTATAACGAAGACTGTCATCAAATTCCCAAGCCGACTCTGTCAAAGCAAGCGGCCTTTACGTCTGTGACACCCGATTCATGCTCGAAACGACGGAATATTCTAGGAATGCCGCTGACGCTCAAGAAACGGCTAGAGCGTACCGTTGAGTCAGAGACTTCTCGTAGCAGAGTTGGACTTGGTATAAATAGCCCGACTCATTGTCGGACAGTTTATTCAAAAATCTAAGTCATAAAAAATCAACTCAGAAAAATAAGTTGTTAGATCAATCTCAAAGGGGGTTAAAATATAAAAAAAAATCCTAACTTAATAACGAAAAATGATATCAACTTGATTAATCGATTACTTTCGATTAGTTAGTATATAGTATATGATTTTGATAGATTATTATTGCCAGAAAAATACGAATGTCATTAAAAGATTTTTAAAAGGAAAATAACAGACTTTTCTCTAAAGAAAAGAAAGAAAGAAAGACTAACAATTATTTTGATTAATTGAATATTTCAATTGCTTGATTATTTTCTATTAATCGATTTTTTCGCTTAATCGACAATTTTTGAGTAATATTTTTTCGATCCACCAATCTTTTCTGTCTAATCGATTATTTTCGATTAATCTATTATTTATATTGCTCGAATATTTTAGATTACCATCAATACTCACTTTACAATTGATTCGCTTCACAATTATTTTTACTATTAATACTTTTACAATCGTTTCTTTTACAGTCAATTCCTTTTTTGTCATAGAATATTCTTTATATCGATTTTTTTACAATCGATTTAATTTACAACCAATTCTTTTTACTATTAATACTTTTACAATCGATTCTTGTTTTATTATACTTTATTTTTACTCTAACTAGTTAGTTTACTTTATATATACGATTAATAAGAGTTAAAAAATGAAAGAAAACTGCTATATTTTTACATTGACCATTGCATTTTCAGCAATGTCTCGAGCCACAAGACGAAAGCACGTTCAGCTAGAGGTCCTGCACGACGATTTTTCAGCCCCAACGGAAAACCAACGAATCGTTAAAGTCCTCAACAGCAGAGGCAACAATTTGCACGAAGTAGAAGCACCCGACAAGTCAACCTTCCTCGTCTCCATGCCGACAAAGTACCGCAAAAACGTTTGGGTGAAACGAGGCGATTTCGTGTTGATCGAGCCGATCGAAGAGGGCGACAAAGTAAAAGGAGAAATGGTCAGGATACTCACCCACGAGCATATCAAGTATTTCAAAAAGGACAATGTGTGGCCGAAAGAGTTCGATGTTAAAAAAGAGGAAAAAAGCGACGGTGATGACGTTTTTGTAAATACGAACAGACCGGTGGTCGATAGTGATGAAACCAGTGATTCCAGTTCGGATGATGGAAGTCATAAAAGTGACAGTGATAGTTAGTAACAAAGAAAAAACTTTTTAAACGTTGAATTCGGTACGTACTAATTTCACTCCATATCTAACTTCACTCCATTGTTAAGTCATTGTGATGTGAAGTTAGATTTGGAGTGAAAAGAGTAAAAGGAGTTCATTTCTTTCTTCTTTTTTTCAATTTCGTATTTAGTTTATAAACGTTTTGTTATTCGGATCCAATAAAACTATTTTGTTTTATAAAAGAAAAAATGGTTTTATTTATTTATTTTTAGGTTGAAAAATGTTGAATTTATTCAATCATGTTTAATGTCTTTACTGCAATGGTGGATCCAGCATTTGAATGAAGTTGGTTGTGCTAGGAATTAATTAATGGTAAGAATTTTGTTTTGTTTCATGTAACATTACAAAAAAAAAAAAATAGTTTTAAGCTTATTTTTATAACCTATGGTCGAAAATAGTAGCTTCGTTTTAAGACCTAATAAAATTCTGTTGAAACTGTTTTTCTAATTTTTCTTTTTTATTAAGGAGATGACAAATATTTTTTAGAATTTATTTTTTTTTTTACAATCGGCACTTTTTACAATCGATTCGTGTAAAACGATTTTTTTTACTAATAATACTTTTACAATCGATTTCTATTTTACCTTTAATTATTTTTATAATCGATTCGTGGTATAACCGATATAACCTTTTTTCTATTTATACTATAACAATAGTTTCTTTTTATAGTCGATTCTTGTTTTTAATAATCGATTCCATTTTTTCAATCGATTGTTTTTTGCAGTAGATACTTTTCAAATCGACACTTTTTACAATCGATTCGTGTAAAACGGTTCTTTTTACTATTAATACTTTTACAATCGATTTCTGCTTAGATTTTTTACAATCGACACTTTTACAATCGATTCTTTTTTAACAATCATTTTTTTACAATACAATATTTTTACAACCAATGCTTTTTACCATTAATTCGTTTTACAATCATTGTTTACAAGCGATTTTTTTTTACATTCAATTAGTATTCTTACAAATATTTTTATAAACGATTTTTTGTATAATTAATACTTTCTACAATCGATTCTTTTTTTAAATCAAGTTCTTTTTTACAATAATTATTTTTACAGTCGATACTTTTTATAATATATTTTTTACTCTCATTTCTTTTTTTGCAATCGATTCTTTTTTTATTTATTCCTTCTTTAATCGATTTTTTATTATTAATACTTTTACAATCGATCTCTGTTCTATTATCATTTTTTTAACAATCGATTCCTGTTATACCATATCGATACAATCGATTCTTTTTTCAACAATCATTTTTTTTACAATATTTTTACAACCAATTGTTTTTACCATTAATTTGTTTTAGAATCATTTTTTTACAATTCTTTTTTTTTACATTCAATTAGTTTTTTTACAAATATTTTTATAATCAATTTTTTGTATAATTATTACTTTCTACGATCGATTGTTTTTTTTTTTTCTTTTAAATAAAGTTCTTTTTTTACAATAATTATTTTTACAGTCGATACTTTTTATAATAGATTCGTTTGTACAATCTAATCTTTTTTATAATTAATTCTTCTTTACTCTTAATACTTTTTGCAATCGATTTTTTATTAATACTTTTTACTCTCATTTCTTTTTTTGTAATCGATTCTTTTTTTAGTTATTCCTTATATCGATTTTTTACTATTAATACTATTACAATCGATCTCTGTTTTATTATCATTTTTTACACAAATGATTAATTTTACAAATAATTATTTTTAACTTTTACAATCGATTCTTTTTTTAACAATCGATTTCTATTCAACCATAGATTATTTTTACAATCGATTCGTTTTATAACCGATTCTCTTTTACTATTTATACTATTAAAATCGATTCTTGTTTTTAATAATCCATTCCATTTTTTTGTAACATATCTACACTTTTTACAGTCGATTCGTATGAGACGATTCTTTTTACTAATAATACTTTTACAATTTATACTATTATAATAGTTTTTTTATAGTAGATTCTTGTTTTTAATAAGCGATTCCATTTTTACAATTAATACTTTTGAAATCTACACTTTTTACAATCGATTCGTGTAAAACGATTCTTTTTACTATCAATACTTTTACAATCGATTTCTGTTTTACCTTAAATTATTTTTACAATCGATTCGTTTTATAACCGATTCTTTTTTACTATTTATACTTTTACAATAGTTTGTTTTTACAATCGATTCTTTTTAATAATCGATTTCATTTTTACAACGAATACTTTTCAAATCGACACTTTTTACAATCGATTCGTGCAAAACGATTGTTTTACTATGAATACTTTTACATTCGATTGTTTTCTAACAATCGATTTCTATTTTACTATAGATTATTTTTAAATCGATTCTTTTTTTAATAATCGATTTCATTTTTACAATCGATATTTTCTTCAATTATTGATACTTTTCAAATCGACACTTTTTACAATCGATTCGTTTAAAACGTTTCTTTTTACTATTAATATTTTTACAAACAATTCTTTCTTTAACAATCGATTCCTGTATTACCATAGAAGATTTTTACAATTGATTCGTTTTATAACAGATTCTTTTTTATTATTTATACTTTTACAATCGATTCTTTTTAATGATCGATTCCATTTTTACAATGAATACTTTTCAAATCGACACTTTTTACAATCGATTCGTGCAAAACGATTGTTTTACTATGAATACTTTTACATTTGATTATTTTCTAACAATCGATTTTTGTTTTACTATAGATTATCTTTACATCGATTCTTTTTTTTAAATAATCGATTTCATTTTTATAATCGTTTTTCTATAATCGATACTTATCAAATCGACACTTTTTACAATCGATTCGTGTAAAACGATTATTTTTCCTATTAATACTTTTACAATCGATTGTTTTCTAACAATCGATTTCTGTTTTTATAATCGTTTTTTCTACAATCGATACTTATAAAATCGACACTATTTACAATCGATTCATTTTATATCCGAATCTCTTTTTACTACTTATACTTTTACAAACGATTCTTGATTTTATTGATTCCATTTTTACAATTGATACTTTTCAGATCGACACTTTTTTACAATCGATTCGTGTAAAACGATTATTTTTCCTATTTATATTTTTTACAATCTATTCCTTTTATAACCGATTCCATTTTTACAAACGATTTTGTCTATAATCGATTCGTGTAAAACTATTCTTTTTTTTATCAATCGATTTGTTTTACCATAGATTATTTTTACGATCGATTCTTTGTAATATTATTATTTTTACAATCGATTCCTTGTGTTTAATATTATTTTTACAATTGACACTTTTTACAATCGATTTATTTTATATTTTTTACTATTCCATTTTTACAATCGATACTTTTCAATTCGACACTTTTTACAATCGATACGTGTAAATCGATTATTAATACTTTTGCAATCGCGACTTTTTTACAACCAATACTTTTACAATCGATACTTTCTGCAGCGCGGACATTTTTTTCCTTTTTCAATTTCGTATTAAATTTATAAATATTTTTATATTGAGATGTAATAAAACTATTTTGTTTTATAAAAGAAAAAATGATTTTATTTTACAAATATTTACATAATTTTTTTACACGGCTTCTTCTCTCTGTCTTCTGGCAATTTTTCTTTGAACTAAATTCGTTATATTGCCGTCTACATTTTCTATAGCTTCGTTTCTTCTAATAGCAAGCTAAAAGCAAAAAAAAAAAGATAGTGATAATGTCATATACAGGGTGGTTCAAAAGTTGAGTAGATATTTTTAATTTATTTTAGAATTTGTTATATCCTACAGACAATTGCATCATATACAGGATGATTCAAAAGCCAAGTCGTTATTTTTAATTTGTTATTTTGGTGAAAAGACGAGATAGATCAAGTTAGACAATTGTGTCATATACAGGGTGGTTCAAAAGTTGTGCAGATATTTTAAATTTATTTTAGTAAAAAAAAAGATCAGGTTAGAGACAATTGTGTCATATACAAGGTAATTCAAAAGATGAGTCGTTATTTTTTATTCGTTTGGTGGAAATAAAAATTGTCTCATATACAGGGTTATTCACAAGTTGAATCGTTATTTTTAATTTATTTTAGTGAAAAAAAAAGAACAATTGTCATATACAAGGTGATTCAAAAGTTAAATCGTTATTTTGAATTTGTTATAAGAGACAACTGTATCATATACAAGGTGATTCAAAAGTTGGGTCGTTATTTTTACTTTGGTGAAAAGAGGAGATTGATCAAGTTAGACAATTGTGTCATATATAGGGCGATTCAAAAGTTGGGACTTTATTTTAAATTTGTTATTTTAGTGAAAAAAGGAAAAGACTGCAAATTTAGACACATTTGTGTCATATACAGGGTGGTTCAAAACTAGATTTGTTATTTAATGGAAAAAAAGACTTAGAGATAATTATGTCATATACAGGGTTATTCAAAAGTTAAAATATTTTTAATTTATTTTAATAGAAAAAAAAACGGATCTAATTAGAGATTTGAATTTGTTATAACTTAAAGACAATTGCATCATATACAGGGTGATTGAAAAGCCAAGTCGTTATTTTTAATTTGTAATTTTGATGAAAAGAGGATATAGATTAAGCTAGACAATTGTGTCATATACAGGGTGATTCAAAAGTTGGGACTTTATTTTAGTAAAAAAAGAAAAAGACTGCCAAGTTAGACACAATTGTGTCATATATAGGGTGGTTCAAAACTAGATTTGTTATTTAGTGAAAAAAAAAAGGATAAAGTCGGAGATAATTATGTCATATATAGGATTATTCAAAAGTTGAATTATTTTTAATTTATTTTAATAAAAAAAAAGGGATCAAATTAGAGATTTGAATTTGTTATAACTTAAAGACAATTGCATCATATACAGGGTGATTCAAAAGCCAATTCGTTATTTTTAATTTGTAATTTTGATGAAAAGAGGAGATAGATTAAGTTAGACAATTGTGTCATATACAGGGTGATTCAAAAGTTGGGACTTTATTTTAAATTTATTTTAGTAAAAAGGGAAAAGACTGCCCAATTAGACACAATTGTGATATATACAGGGTGGTTCAAACCTAGATTTGTTATTTGGTGGAAAAAACCGATCAATTTAGAGATAACTGTCATATACAGGGTGGTTCAAAAATTGAATCGTTATTTTAATAAAGGAAAAAAAAGATGGAGCAAGTTAGAGACAACTGTGTCGTATACAGAGATATTCTAAAGTTAAGTTGTTTTTTAAATTTGTTATTTTAGCCAAAAAAAGATTAAATTAGAGACAATTACGTCACATACAGGATGGTTCAAAAGTAGAGTCGTTATTTTTAACTTATTTCAGTGAGAAAAAAAACGGATCAAGTTAGAGATAATAGTGTCATATACAGGGTGGTTCAAAAGTTTTATGGTTATTTTTAATATGGCATATTAGGATGAGTAATAAATATGATACGTTTTGTTTATTTGATCTTGATCTATTTTTTATAACATTCCATACTTTTTGCAATTGATTTTTCTTTTACAATCTATTGTTTTATAATCGACAATTTTTACAATCGATTTTACGACCCAAACTTTTTACAATCGATTTTTCTTTTAAAATTTGTTTTTTATCAATCGATTTTTTCTTACAATCGATTTTTCTATTACAATCTATTTTTTTTACAATCAATTTTACGATCCATGCTTTTTACAATCGATTAGTCAATTATTTTTTATAATCGATTCTTTTTACAATCAATTTTACGATCCATACTTTATACAATCGATTTTTCTTTTAAAATTTGTTTTTTTATCAATCGATTTTTTCTTACAATCTATTTTTTTACAATCGACAATTTTTATAATCAATTTTACGATCCATACTTTTTGTTTTTTATAAATCGATTTTTTTACAATCGATACTTTTTACAATCAATTTTACGATCCATACTTTTTACAATCGATTTTTCTTTTAAAATTTGTTTTTTTATCAATCGATTTTTTTTCTTACAATCGATTTTTCTATTACAATCTATTTTTTTACAATCAATTTTACGATCCATACTTTTTACAATCGATTAGTCAATTATTTTTTATAATCGATTCTTTTTACAATCTATTTTACGATCCATACTTTATACAATCGATTTTTCTTTTAAAATTTGTTTTTTTTTATCAATCGATTTTTTCTTACAATCGACAATTTTTACAATACAATCTATTTTTTTACAATCAATTACTTTTTATAATCGACAATTTTTACAATCAATTTTACGATCCATACTTTTTGCAATCGATTTTTCTTTAAAATTTGTTTTTTATAAATCGATTTTTTTACAATCGATACTTTTTACAATCAATTTTACGATCCATACTTTTTACAATCGATTTTTCTTTTAAAATTTGTTTTTTTATCAATCGATTTTTTCTTACAATCGATTTTTCTATTACAATCTATTTTTTTACAATCAATTTTACGATCCATACTTTTTACAATCGATTAGTCAATTATTTTTTATAATGATTCTTTTTACGATCCATACTTTATACAATCGATTTTTCTTTTAAAATTTGTTTTTTTTATCAATCGATTTTTTCTTACAATCGACAAATTTTACAATACAATCTATTTTTTTATAATCGACAATTTTTACAATCAATTTTACGATCCATACTTTTTGCAATCGATTTTTCTTTAAAATTTGTTTTTTATAAATCGATTTTTTTACAATCGATACTTTTTACAATCAATTTTACGATCCATACTTTTTACAATCGATTTTTCTTTTAAAATTTGTTTTTTTATCAATCGATTTTTTCTTACAATCGATTTTTCTATTACAATCAATTTTACGATCTATACTTTTTAAAATCGATTAGTCAATTAATTTTTATAATCGATTCTTTTTACAATCAATTTTACGATCCATACTTTATACAATCGATTTTTCTTTTAAAATTTGTTTTTTTTTATCAATCGATTTTTTCTTACAATCGACAATTTTTACAATACAATCTATTTTTTTACAATCAATTACTTTTTATAATCGACAATTTTTACAATCAATTTTACGATCCATACTTTTTGCAATCGATTTTTCTTTAAAATTTGTTTTTAATAAATCGATTTTTTTACAATCGATACTTTTTACAATCAATTTTACGATCCATACTTTTTACAATCGATAAAATTTGTTTTTTTATCAATCGATTTTTTCTTACAATCGATTTTTCTATTACAATCTATTTTTTTACAATCAATTTTACGATCCATACTTTTTACAATCGATTAGTCAATTAATTTTTATAATCGATTCTTTTTACAATCAATTTTACGATCCATACTTTATACAATCGATTTTTCTTTTAAAATTTGTTTTTTTTTATCAATCGATTTTTTCTTACAATCTATTTTTTTACAATCGACAATTTTTACAATACAATCTATTTTTTTTACAATCAATTACTTTTTATAATCGACAATTTTTACAATCGATACTTTTTACAATCAATTTTACGATCCATACTTTTTGCAATCGATTTTTCTTTAAAATTTGTTTTTTATAAATCGATTTTTTTACAATCGATACTTTTTACAATCAATTTTACGATCCATACTTTTTACAATCGATTTTTCTTTTAAAATTTGTTTTTTTATCAATCGATTTTTTCTTAGTCGATTTTTTTACAATAGACAATTTGTACAATCGACATTTTTCACAATCAAATATTTTTATAATCAATTCTTATTTACTTATTTACAGACGATTTTTTTAACAATCGATTTTTCTTTTGAAATATACTTTTTTATCAATCGACTTTTCTTTTAAGGTCGATTTTTTTATCAATCGTTTGTTTTCTACAATTTAACCTATTCTTTTTATAATCGATTTTTCAACAATCAATTCATTTTTTACAATCGATTTTTCCTTTGAAATATATTTTTTTTTATCATACGACTTTTCTTTTACAAACGATTTTTTTGTCAATTGATTATTTTTTTATAATCGATTCTTCTTCAATGGTTTTTTTTTTAACAATCTACTCTTTTTACTATAAGTATTTTTTACTTCCGATTCTTTTTAAAATCGATTCTTTTTTAATGATAAACCCTTTTTTTACAATCGACTATTTGTAAAAAAGATTCCTTTTACCAGTAGTTCTTTTTACAATTGAGTCTTTTTTTACAATTGGATCTTTTTTATTATTTTTTTGCGATCAAATCTTTTTTACAACCAACTCTTTTTTACTAATAGTACTTTTTTTACTACCGATTCTTTTTACAATCGATTCTTTTATAATCGATCCTTTTTATAATCAATTCTTTTTAATTGATTCTTTTTACAATCGATTCTATTATTATTATTATTAGTCTACGAATCATGGTAAAAAGCCTATATGAATACTAACCTCGATTTGTTGAACCATTTTGATTTCGGGAAACCCAGCTACGAAATTAGTTACTCTACAAGAAGCCGGACTGCCCAATCGCCCCACTCTACCAATCCGATGCAAATAATCAGCAGCGTACATCGGAAAATCGTAATTCAACACGTGTTTCACTTGAATCGTATTCAAACCCCTACTACCAACGTCAGTCGAAGACAATATTTTCGCTTCACCCGCAACGAATTTATTCCACTGATCTATCCTGATGGCGAAATTCTGATCTCCGTTGATATTAGCGCAATTCACTCCGTTCTCCCGCAAAAACAACGCCAACCAGTTGCACGTTTCGTTTTTATTCGTGAAAATCAACATCGGATGCGCGTTGTTCTTAGCCAGTTCCAGTAATTGAGCGGGTTTTTGAGATTTCGTCAATCTGAGGAACTTTTGGGTTATGTTCAGTTGCGGTTTGTGGATTCTCGGTGATACGACTTGTTTTATCGTTTGTTCTATTGGAGTTAGTACCGGAGGTAGTTTTTTCGGTAGAGTAGCCGAAACCAATATGATTTGAGATTTCGGTACTCTTTTTATCAAACTTTCCATTCTGTCTACGAAGCTGTCGTCGATTAGAGTGTCTGCTTCGTCTAAAACCATATATTCTACCTGGAAAGCGAGTTACATTATGAAGTGAACAACTTGTCGTTTCTGTAGAAGAACAATTACGCAAGTGAAAAATAATGATACCGCAAAAATCGCCATTAAAAAAAATATATGATACAACTGAGACGTTAAGGAACAGTTTGGAATAAAAGGTACTAACATTACGTCGATATTTCACGGAAGAAATGCAATTTTCTTTGTAATTATACCATATGAAAAGGTTACAGCTAAGATGCTGATATCTCGTGGTCCCAAAGATTTTAAAGCTTCACAATCGGGTCTTACCTTACCATTTTTATCATCGTAGCTTTCTGGGTGTGCACGCACCGAATCTGAAGGGCGTGGACTGTATTTAAAGGCTGGTATGTGAATATTCCGGGAGGTGTGACCGAGTCAATACCGAATTACAATTCTATTGATATGACAGGTGTAAGTAGGTTGCCAGATAACAGAACAGTATTCCAGGATACTTCTCGCAAGGCCATTGTAAAGTGTCATGATTGCTTTGGTGTCATTCTTTTACCTAGTATGTCTCTTGATGAAGCCAAGCCTACTGTATAATCTATATGGTTGTTAAAAGATATTGTGGTATCAAAAGTAATGCCCAGATCAATAACTGTCGAGGATCTATCTAGGTTGACACTGTTATTACTGTAACAGTTAAGAATAGGAGTGTGAGATCTTGTAAAATGCATGGTTGTGCACTTAGAAATATTTATAGAAAGAGCGTTATTTTTACACCAGGTAGCAAACCTGTTTAGGTCAGACTGTAATGTCGAGTTATTACCAGTGTTTCTACTAAAAAACGTTTAATCATCCGCGAAAAGAAGGCATTGGCTATTAAGAAAGTAGGATGTAACATCATTAAAGAATAACAGTAGGGGACCTATATGTGAACCTTGAGGAACACCGGTTAGGACTGACACGTCACATGATACGGAATTATGTACTGTGACACGTTGACACCGATTATTCAAATAAGATTTAATCCAGTAAAAATAAGAACCAGAGATACCGATTTCGGAAAGTTCCTTGAGTAGCAATTGATGACAGACACTGTCGAAAGCTTTTGACAGATCGGTGTAGATGGTGTCAACCTGGTAACCATTTTCAATTGATGAAATTTTAGTTGATGTCGAGCGACCTTGATAGAAGCCATGTTGTTGAGGTGAGATATAGTTTTTATACGTGTAAAACATTTCATTTCAGTCAAAGTTCAGTAACTAACCTCTTGAGCCACCAGCGGGGGAGTAGGGGGAATTAAATATCTTTTAACGTCGAACAGAAAAAACAGGCGCAGAACGAAAAGCCACAAGGGCCTTAGCATGTTTCTCGAATATTACTGGTCCAATCCAAACGGGAAAAACGGCATTACGTAGAGAACGCGGTATAAATGAACGTCGAAGAGAAAAATCATGCGCAGAACGAAAAGCCAGAAGGGCCTGAGCTTCAATTTCCGTTATTACTGGGTCCGATTCAAATGGGAAAAACGGAATTATGTAGAAAACGCGGTATAGATAAACGTCACAGGATATTTGTTACCTCTTATCTTGTTCTTTGGGACATATTGGTCGATACCTACCTATTTCTATGATGTTAGAAAATTGTTTTACAATTTTATTGATGTCATGAAAATGAGTTATGAATGACCAGTCAGTGTTTATAAAGAAATTGTTAATACCAGTGAAGTTGGCTTTATGGAACTGATATACATTAACTGGTTTATTATCTCTAAGTAAGAGAGGTTTTTTATTCGTAAAGTTAACCAAAAGTAGGGGATGTAGAGGATGAATCTTTACCAGTGAAAAATCGCTAGATTTGCATTCAATTGATTCAAACTCGTCCACAAATATAAGATCCAGTATCCGTTGGAGCGAATTGAAAACATAATTTACTTTATTGAGTTCGTGGAAACATTGTATCAATCAAAGCCTCGAATTCTAGTTGGAATAACAAAATTTTCTTCAAATTCCCATTGGACATGTGGAAGATTGGAGTCGCCACATATTATGAATTTATGATTTTTAACTTTGCTTTTTAAAGATTCGTATAAATCGCAAAAAAGATAAATAGCTTTCTAATGACGAGTTTGGAGGAATATACACACATCCAATTACCGTGTCGATATTGCGAAGATGTTGGAGTATCTATCTTGTCAGATGTAACATGAGGTAAAGTTGCTATTAAAGTTCCACCTCCTCTTCTGCAATTGAAGAGGGCATAATTTTTGTTTTTCATGAATACAAAATATCTATCGCCGAAAAATTCAGAACTATGAAAGTCTTTATTAAGCCAAGTTTCACTCAAAAGAATAATGTCATAGTTACAAAATATCAGCTAATTTCTTTCGTAGTCCATTAAAACATTTTGATAGTATATAGTAGTTTGGTCACCTTTGAATTAAGATTGTGAATTCTTTAATACAATGGGGTTTTGGTACGTTGGATAGTCATGTGTGTACTTCCTAGGCTTGCACGCACTGAATCTGGAGGGTGTGGACTGTATTTAAAGGCTGGTATTTGAATATTCCGGGAATTATGATCGAGTCAGTACCGAATTCCAATTTTTAACGCAAGCATGTGTGTTTTTCGCGGTGGTCAAACGACAAATCGCTCTTCCAAACGACTGTAGCCTTTGACTACTTAAGTCGGGTAGTACATTCGTGGAGAAATTAAATTAATAAAAATAATGAGAAAGTGAAATATTACCTTTCATAATGGATGATAATAATTTAAAGACTAGTCTTTTCACCTCTGAATAAAGTTATAAGTAATTACTTGCTGATTAGACTGTAGGTTATAGTTCTTTAATCTGATAAGTAACTCTAGTCTAATCAGAAAGTAGTTACTTTCAACTGTACTCAGAGGTGAAAAGACTGGCTCTAAATATATATAAGTAAAGGCAACACAATAACAAAGACAAATTTTTACTTGCGTCATTATTCTTCCGGATAACCGTTATCATTACCTCATGCAATTTATAGATTCCGACAGTTGACAACTTCCCCAAAGCCCCCGGTGTAGCGACCAAAATATCGATATCTTCAAAAACGGCATTCATCATTATCGATTTGGTTTTCCCGCCAACGACGACTTTCGTTTTCACCCCCACGCTCTCTCCTAGTATTCGAGCTACTTCACCGACTTGGTGAGCAAGTTCGCGATTGGGAACCAGTACGACTGCTTTGGGGGTGTTTGCATCCGTGGCTTTGTTGTCGATTAAATTCTGTACTATCGGTAAAAGGTACGATAGAGTTTTTCCACAGCCAGTTTCGGCTGCTAGCAGTACGTGCGATCCTTAAAAAAATAATTTCTTGAAAGAATAACAAAACAAGAAAGATTTTGATTATTAATTACTACTATCTTAAGTGGAATTTTAATTTAACACCTCTTGATTCTATAAATGAAAGCTTAGTATACTAATTTATGCAATATTAATGCACAGTCTTCAATAAGTAGTACGTTTAAGTAGTTACATAGATAAAATATAATTAAAAAAAATAGTACACAAACAAATATTTCTTCTTAGTAATATTCTTTTAAACATTCTAAATGAATTGAAAAATACATCACTTGGACCCGACAGGCTATTTAATTCGCCTATCATTGGATTATTATAATTTGTTAAATGCTTATTTTCATGTAACAATTATTCCTAGTTCTTGATCCAACATTAAATTTAAATAAAGCAAACAGTAACATAGTGGGTTTGTAATTGTTGATTTACCAGATGAGAAACCATGCTGCTACTGAAGAGGACTACTACTTTTTAAAAAATCAGGAAAAACAGCAGTAGTTAGTGACAGAGTAAATAAACTATGTAGGTGTATAATTGGTCAATGTATATGTATAAATACATTTTTTCAGCATCATAAATGGTGTCCCATCTGTCCCATGAGATGTCTTAGATTTAATCTAAGAAATTCATTTAAAACAAATGGTGGCGATATAACAAATTTACTCAAATCTATCAAATTATTATAACAAATGTACTGTGACATATCAGAAGTATTGTTATTAAGAGTAAACTAAGAAAAGACATCTAACAAAAGGATTTACTATAGACCCTCATTACTATCTTCGCCATTTAAATTAATCAATAGTTTAATAGTTAAGTTACAATGAGTTACAATAATAAATCAGTTACAATAAAGTATAATAATGGAAACCAATTATATAATAACAAGCACCTAGGTGAGAACACCTGTATGTGCTGACAAAAATTAAAATTTTATTTTAATTATATTTAATGAATTATAAAGGAAATAAAAAAAAACATTTTTTTTATTAAAAAATAAAACGAACAATTTATGCAAGAAACTGAAAAAAAATCCATGTATTAAGTCCGTTATTCTTGGAATATTCTGATAAACTTGGCATTATTTTGGAAAATGTATATTTTGCTAATTTAACAGAATTTTTTATATTTGTTTAATAATTTTATATGAAGAAATAGAGCGTTATAGAACTTTGTCCCTAGATTATTTACACTCTTTTTAAAAAACTTACTATTTGGTTTTGGTACTTTAATGCACATGGTCGATGCAGTTCTAGTGTTGTTGCGTTTATAATGGACTGTGAATTTGGGCTGGCTAATAATTTATTTCTTTTAATTAAACAATGACAATATTTCACCCTACCTTTACTAGTGGCTCTGGATCGGGATACTTCTATATTTTCCTGTGGGCCCACACTTAACATCTGAAGCGGCTGGAGGCGCTAATGCGATCTTGATAATGCAGTTCACACACAAAAATTCTGACTTATTCGGTGTCGGTTTTAACACTGTACTGACGATTTCTATATTCTGAGCTCTATTGATTTTATTGCTTGCGCATACACAACTCATACCTGTGTTTTTATTACCATCGAAACCGTTTGGTTTGGGAAGAAAGTATTGTCAATGCTAAAGTAGATATTGATATCAGAAGCTAATAAATGAATAAATTAAACTTAAATTTAATATGAAAACGCAACAAGTGTTATGTCTATGTTCTAAAGGGTTTTTTAAAAATTAATTTTTTGTATATAACAACACACTGCGTGAATATATAAACATTTAACATTGCTAATTTTTTCATTATATAAAGTTATGGTGGGACACAATCTATCTCTTTTATATATTAACTTCAAGATTTTGTTTTGAATAACATTTAACTGATTTAATGTAGTTCCATACCGTAGTATAGATTCTACTAGACTGTAGTATAATGTTATTATTAGATCCTGGTTGAGAAATTGTTTTAGAAGATAAAATTTATAAATCAGAAATCTAAGTTTTTTTGCTATATATATTATATGCTGGTCTATAATTATACCTAAATATTTGGATGTTTCTGTTTCCTGTATGTCTAAATTTTGATATGTTAAGCTTCTAAATTGAGGTCGATCAGCCACTGTCTTGGAAAAAGCAATGTAGTTTGTTTTGTTAACATTCAAAGACAATTTAAAAACATCCAGCCAATTTTTGACATGTTCCATTCCAGCTATAGCACGTGTCTTGACAGCTTCCCAATCTTTATCACTGAAGACTAGCACTGTATCATCAGCATATGATACAACTTTACCTTGAATATCAATCTGAGTTAAGCTCTTAATGTATAAATTAAATAGTATAGGTCCCAGAACAGTCCCCTGAGGCACTCCGATTTGTATATTTTCAGGGTTACTCACATTGTCTCTGACCTTTACCTTCTGTTGTCTGTGTGTCAAATAATTTTCAAAAACCTTCAACATGATGCCCCTCACTCCATTATGTTCAAGAACATTTAAGAGCTTCTGATGTGGCACCGTGTCAAATGCTTTTAGTAGATCTAGAAATATAGCTATACACTTATTACCAGTATTCATTTCATCAGTAACATATGAAATCAATTCATGCATAGCATCTCCTGAGTTAAAACCCACAGTAAAGCCATATTGGTGCTTGGGAAGTAAGTCATTAGTTTTTAAAAAATCTGTCAGTCTGTCTTTCACACATTTCTCAAATATTTTGGCCACATTACTAATTAAACTAATGGGCCTATAGTTAGTTATTAATTTTGGATTATGAGCTTTATAAATAAGTGTTATAATTGAAGTTTTAAATTGTTTAGGTATGATTCCTGAATTAAAAATACAATTAATTATATGCATTAAAGGTTCTAGTAAATACGGATGTAGTAGTTTCAGATGTTTTACTGTTATACAATCAAATCCCGGGGCACTATTTTTTTTTTTAACTATTTATGTGTTTTATAATATTGTTTTTGCATATTGGTTTCAGAAACATTGATTTTTCAGTGCCACAGGAAAATCCACATTACATTCAGGGATATTTGTGAACATATTAGTGCCAATAGTCGAAAAGTAGTTATTGCAGTAATTCACCATTTTATTATCATTTTCAAATTCCTCATTATGTTAGTTAACAATCTGTAAATTGGTATTATTTTTTTTATGATTTTCATTAGTTGCTTCAGAGATTAATTATTGATAAGTTTTCTTCAGATCATTTTTGTTTTGGTTTATTTTATTGTTATAATAGTCATTTTTAGTTTTTGATATTAGTTTGTTTAAATTATTTCTAAATGCTTTATAGTGAGTTTGTCTGTTAGTATAGTTTTTTTGTAGATCTTTTTAAGTTTATCCCTAGTTTTAATAGAATTAATTAAACCATTTGTTATCCATGCCTTTATTTTTTTATGGATTTTAATTTTAATATTTTGAGTGGTTTGACATGTTTCAATGATATTAAGATACGTGTTATAAAAAAGTTGTGTTGCAATTTCTGGATTATTTTTATTGCAAACACTTTCCCAGTTTACAGTTTCGAATTTTTGTTTTAATTTATCAGTATCGATTTTAGTTACAGTTTTATATGTATTGTAGGAACTTGTGTAGTTTTTGGCAGATTGTGAGATATTTATCATAATAGGATCATGATCAGTCATATCATAGCTGATTATATAAGAGTTCACCGATAGATTTTCAGTCTTAATATTGTTTTTTAAGAATATATGATCCAAGCATATTTTACTTTGTGGCTTCATAATAGTGTTTATGTAAGACATGAAACCATGGGAGTAAAAAGTTGCTTGGTAATCAGTAGGTACTTGATTGGTTACATTTAGGAGATCAATATTAATGTCCCCTATAAATATTTCAATATTTCTATTTGGTATGAAATTTTCTAAATCCCTCATAAATGCTTGTGCAGAGGTTTGAGGAGACATATACACCTGTAATGCCAATGGTCCAATGATTGACTTTTAGATTTATTTTAGTGACACAAATATCAGAATATTCCAGTTTAACTATATTTAATTCTGCATTTAGATTTGACCTGATCAAAATTACAACACCATCATTTCTGTTAATGTTACCATTGTTATAGTGGGTGGTGAAGCCATCTAGGTTAAATTGAGAAATAGATTCTAATTGGAAACATTCAGTAAAAACTATTATATCACAATAATTAATTTTATAACTTTCTAGAAATACTAACAACTCATCAAAATTCTTTTTAATACTCCTAATGTTGAAATGTAGGAGTTTTTCATCAAGGATGGGTAATTTACATTCCATCTAGTGCTTTTGACATGCTTCCAAAACTGAAATTGGTTATTTTCTATACCATCACTAATTTTTTGGATACACCTAATGTAGCAACAGACAATAATTTACATTGATTTCTAAGATCCTGTGTATCAAAAATGATGTCCTCAATAGGGTGAAATAGGTTCAAATTAGAAAATTTCGAAAACAATAGTTCAAATTATAAAACTTCGAATGACAAAATTAAAAAAGTTTGAAATTAAAGCAAACCGCGCTGGCTCCAGGCCGCTTAGGTTAGGTAGATTAGTTAAGTTTATTTTTGTAATTGGGAAAAAAGTTTAAACAGTAAATAAAATATATTTATTATGGTAAAGATTATTTTGTATGTCGTATGTATGTAAAATGTGTATTTTACCTGTTTTCTATTTAACTGACAACCAAATTAACATTTTTATATATCTATTACCGAGAAAGTTACTAGTAACCACTTCTATGCTGTTCCCCACAGATTATTTAGCAACATTTATGTAATAACTTAACTATAAATTAATAAAAACACTAACCTTGTTTAACTTGCTGAATAGCTCTATATTGAAATTCAGTCAGTTCTTTAATACCTTCTTTCTTCAGTGCTTCAAACATATTTGAATTTATATCTAACTCTTCGAATTTGTAAGTTTTCTCTTCAATGACATCGATAGGCATAGGATGAACTGTGAAATAATCACCTTTCGATTTTAAATGAGTCCATCCTCGTGAAACTAAAGGCACCTCGTCTAATTTCTTATAATACATATCGGCGTAATGATCTAATGCTTTTCGTTTACAACTTATAAGTAGCGGACCTTTGTTTTTTAACTTAACTTTATTTGTAGCAACGGAGTATTGTGATGTTTGAATGTAAACGGTTTTGGGAAGATTTCTAAATAAAATTGGTATTTTGGACGACATTATTTCATATATAAATTATTTTATATTTTAAAATTAAATTATTTGCACATTTTTAAAAATATTGAATCATAACCTAAAAAAATATTTTTAAATTTTCTTCTTTTTGGTGACTTTGTCCAAAGAAGACAGATGTCTTTGGCTGTATGTCATAAGACAATCGGCGAAAGGAAGAAGAATATGTTGTCACTTTATAATAAAAGTATAAATTGTCGTTTGGTATATTATTTTTATTAGGTTTATTTAAGTAATTCAATGTAGTAATTCGGTAGTTTTAAGAATGTTATTGCTATGAAGAATATACAGTGCGTTGTTCGTGGTTGTGATACAACATTGGATCAAAGGATACCATGTTTGAATTACCAGGTGCAATAAGGTACGTACTATTCACTTGATTAATAAATATTATTGAAGAAACCATGGAGTTAGAAGGAGATGAGTATTTTTAAAACTCCATAAATTAACGATTTTTTAACAAATTTTATATATTAAGGGCTTGTATTAAGGATCATTTATGTAGACTTATTTATTAGAATTATATCTATCATTACAAATGCGCGGTTTTGCCAAGTGTCCAATTAAATTCAAAGAAATAAAAAAGTATATTATTTCATTACATTTATATTATGTATATATGTTTAGATAACATGTGCCGCGTTTGAGAATCCACATCAGATGCATTTTTTACAACTCGAGCGTTTTTTTTTATCCACATCGGACACATCTGTCCCATATTACATTTACGTATACTGAATAACGTGATCAAAGATTTACTACATCTCAGATGCATCCGATGTGGATTCTCAAACGCGGCAAGGGTCATAGTATTTAAATTTATTACCTACTGCTTACCTACTTATTTACTCCTATAATTTTTAAATGTGTTTACTTATCTCTCTGGGTTTCAATTGTACACAAAAAATGGGGTACAGTTAGAAGTGTTACAATATCTCGATGATTTAAGAAAAAATATTACGATGCTTGATGAGAAAAGTGTTTTTTAAATATAATACGGCACTTCGAGAATTTCGCAGCAATGTTTACCTGCCAGTGTCGTTTCATAGAATAAGTAATTTTAAATTATTACCGGCAGAACCGGCCAATCGCATGTATTTATGGACTATAAATAATTATTAAACATGTATTATAATATTCAAATCATAGTTTTACAAAATTTCAACAGCTATTCACAATTTATTAAACTATTTACTCGAAAAATTGTTATTAACATCTATAAAATAATTTTGTACGCCAATATGTATCGCGTCCACTTCGGTTAAATCCGCTGCAAACCTGTCAATTTATGTGTATAAAGTGGGAGAACTGGCAAAAGCTTTTCCAACTTCTACTTGTGCTATAACTATTTTATCTTTTTGATTAAACGGCCCCAGACTAATGATGCCCGATTTGTATGGTATGATTAGGTAAAATATAAAAGTACCTATCGTAGGTACACGAACTTTTGTATTTTTGTTCCAAATCAATAAACTTTTAAGAGTTCACATTTTATTATTGACTTACCTATTCCATTTTTTATACTACTTATCGATTTTGTATTTTTCTTTAAGTTAAGAAGACCTTGGGGTCTATTCTGTAACAATTCCTTTATATTTAACAGCCTTTAAAAATATTTTCTTCTTTACTTCTGTCATTATTTAAACGGATCTTTAAAATACATTAGAGTACTATCTTAAAGAAATCTGTTTAAATAATGACAGAAGTAAATTAACGAATACAAATATACTTTTAAAGGCCGCCAATATTTTTAAAGGCTGTTAAATATAAAGGAATTTTTACAGAATAGACCCCCTTAAGTGGTACAGGAAACAATAAATACACTTAGGGTTAGTTGTATGAAGCTTTCCGATTCTATATGTGCAGTCTAATGTTTAGGGAAACAAGCCCCAAGTGCTAAATGGTGTTTAGACTGTACCTATGCAATACAAAATTTGTCATGTGTCACCTCAAACCGAATTTAACTTTAAGTAAGATTTATACGACCCGCCCTAAGGATATATTTTAACTTTAAGGAATCAGCTGTTAGTTTGACACTTTGAATTACCTATTTAGAAATTTTATTTGTACCGGCTGACTGGCGTCATTTGTCAAACAAATCAATTCCTTTGTTTCAAAAACTTTTGGACAATACAAAGTAATCATGTTTATTACTCTATAGATTAATATTTATTAAAATAAATTAATAGAATTAGTGCTTTTTAGTGTATAAAAATGTTATGTCAAAAATAAGGTACTTATTTTATCTCTTTTTCGTTGATTTTAATTGGACACTTGGCAACGCCGAGCAATTGTAATGACAGATATAACTCTAATGAATAAGTTTACATAAATGATCCTCTTAAGCGTTAATTTATTAGGTTGATGGTATATTTGAAAAATATACATCCTTCCTAAAGCCTATATTGTAAGTTTTATAAAAAAAATTGTATTTTAAAGTAATGGGCGTCTTCACAATATTTACCGTTGTTTATTTCTTGTGGAGCAAGAGACACAAATTGATTGGTTTTCATAGTTTCATAAATCTTATGAATCAAATTGATATTTTTCAGTTTCTCAATTCTTATGAACCAAATGACACAAATTGATTTTCAATTTCTCAGTGTTACTTTTAAAATTTTATACTACTTTTCACAGTATTTTATGCCTTTTGATAAGTATTTGGTTTAGAAAAATAATACACCTGTTTAGATATTAATTAATTACATGTATTTATTTGTTTACTAGAACCTACGAAATAATAAATTACAATTACACTTCACTTATCATTTTCATAATCAGCAGGATTTTTTAACATTAGTCTATGGTGCTCTTTTTCCGTTTGGTCGTATATAATGTAAGCAAGTCCAAGAGCTGAAAATAAAAACGAAATACTTTCAGTTTATAGCACAAATCCATAAATATACATCAAAGTTTTGCAATTAAACAATGAATGACAATTATTACCAATAATACATGTCAAATTACTTATAAATTTTGGTCAATACAATGTATATTATTAAATATTCTTACAACAATATATGGAACAAGTTTTTCATAACACTGACACGTAGGACATATGTATATTTTGTAATAAAAAAAAACTTACGAGGAACAACGTAGGGAATTTGATCTAATATTCTACGAAGCGTATTGGGAAATCCATGAGATATAATACCAGCAAAAGCTTTCTGCTCGAAATGAGATAACTTGAATACAACAATACCTCTTAGCCTGTGTAATTGGCCGAATCCTTTACCCATGGTTTATTCTGAAATATAAAAGTTATGTAATCCATGTGATAAAACTGATCAGTATTTGGTTATTTAAAAAGAAATGAAAATGAGATATTTGTCACGAAAAAGATGGAAATGAAAGTCTTTAAAATCGTTAAATACGTATTCAAATTAAAATACATACTTTCAATAAAAGTGGACTAACTAGGATTATTATTTTACTTTTACTGAAAAAAATGAAATACGATAACTTGACAGGTGATAATGATGGAGTGACGTTTGACATTGACCAATGATATAAATTATTTAGATTGCTCATCCTTATGCAAATAGACGAAAAACAGATTTCTTGTTCTTACGTAAAAAGTTTGTTTTGTCTCAATTTTGAGTACGCTGTTGTAAATAAATAATTTACAGAACCGGTTTAGAAAGTAGAATATTTAAAGTTTTTTTGTTATTAAGATTTTTACAGATTAAATGTATATTTTATAAATAGGAAATATAATTTTATCAATTAATAGTTTATACATGTTAATTAAAACTAGTGTAGAATGTTACTTATGTCAGCGATAGCTTAATTGAAAGAATGACTGTGCGTAGAATAGAAGTAGGTTAGTACGAATCCCCCGCGGGTAAAATTTTTTCAATTTTTCATTATATTATTGGGATTTGTTGGAGGGTTTCCTGGTAATTTATTTTCCTATTTTTCGGATATTTAACCGATCAGTTTTTTGAAACTTTAAAACCAATTCTCACCCTAAAAGATAAGTATCCAATATAGTGTGGTTACGTAAGCAAAGTTGTTTATATCTTATAAATAAAAGTTTTATTACATATTGAAATTATTTTATTTGTTATTTCTGTAACAAGAGTGATGTAAAATTATTCACACAGACAGCACACCAAATCCTTTGGATATTTACTGGACATCCCAATATCCACTGAATGTCCAGTCCATGGTGGATATCTATTTTATATCCGTGAGATGTAATTTATAGACATGCAAATGTTCATAAATAATAGTAATTATAAAGCAAATTATTAAAAAAGTACGTCATTGTGCTCGCCATTGTGGCTAATAGTACCGTTCAGATATTTAAAATTATTTTTTTAAGGTATATTCAATATTCCATGGATATCCACTAAATATATCAAAGTTTAGCTGCGAACGCAAACCATGGTGGATATCCACTAGATGTAATTTTTGACTTTTGAGTTCGATCGAAATTGGTATCGCAATCAGACTCCATTAGAGACTGGAGTCGAGAATTTCCATTTATTGCTGAAGACTCCTAATAAGGATGACTTTCTCCTTAGTGGGCAAAATCAAAGGCAGAGTGTTGAAAATATTTTAAGTGTTGAAAATATTTTTTATCTCTGCTATTTTCCTTCGACGTTATTCAATAATCATTGGTTACTTATGAACTTCTACTAAAGATACCCATAAAATATTTTGCTGAATATCCGAATATCTTCTATATCCTGGGATATAGATGGACATTTGTATATCCATATTAGATCCACTGGATATCCACGAAATATATTCTGTGGATATCTCTGGGATTTCTTGTATTGTCTGGAAGATACCCATTAGGTATTTTGCTGGATATGCATAGGATATCTTTTATATTCTGGATATAGATGGACATTTGGATATTCATATTAGATCCACGGGACATTTATGATATCCTGTGGATATATTGGATATCCACAAAAGATATTCTGTGGATATCTCTGGGATTTGGTGTGTTTTCTGGGCACATCTATCTGTTATAAACACATACTTTGATTTTCTTTTACTATACAGAGAATGGTCGCACTGCGCAGCTTTCTGAGTTACTTTTAAAAGGAGATAGAAAATTCCGCCATTTTGAACCCTTATTACGTGTTGCCTACATCTTGGCGCAATATTTTTAATAGGTGCGTTTTAATCATCCGCTACTGCTTCGGAATTGTCGGTTTTCTTGTTTTAATCTGACAGGTTAGAACCACTGAACCGACAATTCCGTAAGCAGAAGCGGATGATTAAAACGCACCTGATATTTTGCTTGCTGCTGTCAGTGTCAGTGAATATTATTTTTGGAGACACAGTTTATTGCTAAAGAATCAGTTAGCTCACTCGGACCAGTTGAAAGTTCCAAAATAACATCCACTCCAGGGATACAAATTCAGGATACGCAGAATACTGCTGTTTTATTATAGGCGGTTGTCATATATTGTATTATCTGAGTTGCGCAGTGTATAAACTGGAACATTGAGATAAAAAGTGCCGACGCAGAGTGAGCGATCTGATTCGTTAGCTATAAACTGTGTCATAGGGTTCAAAATAGCCGCGCCCTATGTTGGGCGGTTCGAACCTCTCTCTTGCCTCGTATAGTAATCAAAGTATGTGGTTATAAACATTGTTTAGAATTATTAATATTATTTGACTATATCGTTGCTTGTCAACAAGTTGTGACTCAAATGTCTTTAATTTTTGGATTTTTATACCATTTTGCTTAAAAAACAGTACAATTTATCTGTAAGATCGACAAAAATCAACTGTGTATAGTTTGGCTAGAGGGTGTTCTGACTATATGACACTTTTCCAAATTTTCAGGTTAATATTGCACAAGACCGTCCGTATTACAAGTTTTTCAGAAAGACTGACACAAAACAAAAAGTTTCAGTTTTATATTTTATTCGGGAAACAGTGTCGTACTTTATTTTAAAACGTTTTTTAGAAAAGGTAAGTATTTTTATTTTAACCTTTCATATTAAATTGACTCTTTTTTAAATTATTATTTTTTTTATTGAGACTATTATTTTTATTGTTTATAGATTTATTTGCGGTTTTTTTTAAAGAATTGTTTGCAATACTTTATAATGCGTTTCAAATTGAAGAAAAAACTTTGATTTTTTTAGAATACCTTGTATATTGTAATATTGTATTCAATAAAACAATACTCTTAAATACTACCATAATATCATGTATTGATTTATAAGTTAAGGTAATTCTTCTTTTTTTTTTTTCAAAATTTGTTTTTAAAACGCATTTGGGCCAGAACGGTTCTGTTCAGTGAGCATTTGGAAAGGCAGTATAGCGCCACTGTGATCCGCTCTACGTATTATTTACATATGGGTGAGCAATCTATATAACTATGTAGCATTGATCAGTACCTTTGATGTTTTTTCTTCTTTTTTTTTAAATAAATATTTAAAACAGCCTCAAAAAACCTTGTTGAATTTAAAGAGAAATGAGTCCAAATGAATCAACGAGAAGAAGAAAATTTAGGTTAGAGTGAAAAATTTTGAATTACACATTTTGTAGTTTTGTTTTTAAGTTTAAATTAATTAAATTTTCAACGTGCAAACGCAATGCCCATAGCACAAGTAAGTTATTTATAAATCACGTAATCTGGGGTTGTTAGATATAACGTGGATGAAAGTTTATTTAACATTTATAAAAACGATTAGGGTTCGGTATTTATTTGTTTAATTTTTTTTACAGATATCGTAGTATTATTAATAATAATTTATAGTATAATTGGAATAGAATTAAGCGTTTTTTCCCCAAAAAATCATGGCTAGTACCCCATATAAATTGGATATACAAAAATTTCGAGAAGAATTGCAGAAACTAAGACAACCTCCTTTTCTGAACAATAGCGTTCAAGATACAAATCAAGAAGATATCGAAATGTCACTTAAACCTAAGACAAACCAACAAAATGATCTTAGTGGTAGTTCCAGAGGAGAGACAAATCAAGCAGACATTGAAATGTTGCCTAATTCCATGGAAAATAGTGAATTATTCGATCAAGATGACGACGCTATTAATACCTCTCAAAATTCTGAAAAGTTTAAACGTGATTTCCAAAAAATGAATGCCATTTTGAAGCTCAAAACTTTGTCTTCCCTTATAACCTGTAATATCTTGCGACAGACATCTAACAAGTCCATCCCGCCGCGAAATTATTAGATATGTTTCAAGTTTTTTTGTTTTTTAAATTGCAGTTGTCAGGAAGTGGAGTTACTAACGACACAAGCAAATCAAAAACGTTTGTTTTCCAAGACGAAGGGCACACATTGGGAAATTCTTTGAGATGCATTATCTCTAGTTAGTAAGTACTTAAATAGATCAAGTTTGTGTTTGTGTTCAATAAATTTAAATAATTTGTGCAGAGTAATTTTTTCGAATTAAAAATATACAGGGTGTTTCATAATATATGCACAGGACTTCAGGACGTGATAGCTCGTCCAAAAATATGAAAAAACGTCTCTATTAACTTACCCTCTAAAATGCACCATTTTCGAGATACAGGGTGTTGAAATTGAAAAAAAAAAAAAATTCTACGCCACTAGAAAAAGTACTGTTTTGAGACGCCCATTTCAACCGCCAATGTTTTCTACACAAAAAAGGTACTCTTGGTCATACGCTCTAAAGTCGACCGTTTTCGAGAAAAATCAAATTTTGTTTTATTTCCAAAAATTGACCATGTATTTCAACATTAAGGCACAGTTCTGTATAGTAGAACTCTACTAAGCATTCTATAGCGATAGTTCAACTTTTCACAACTTCTTCTTTTTTTATAACTGAATTAATTTAATGAAAAATATTTATTTTATTTTAAATAAATAATTCAAAATAAATAATGAAAAAATATCATCAGTACATCAATAATCCGGTCAAGCCGACGACTCCAAAACAGAGATTGTATACAAACACATGCAGACAACTATCGCCGCGTGGGCACACGAGGTAGGTTATATCAAAGAGTACAAAATAAACTATAAAAGAGGAGTCACTCGCCCAATTACCGCCTTCTAACGCGATCAGCCGCCATTCCTCCACAGTCCTTTCTCAGTATACAGTATACTGGTGTAGTTCAACGCGTAAGGCTCGTTTGCTCCGCTACGTTAGATTCCGCTGTAATATTGGCCGTTACATTCCACTATCATCGCCGCGCGCGTCTTACCGCTTAACCCCGGTATAGCCCAATTAGCTCTGCTGTGAGATTCCAAATCAATGCGAAATCGAATGGCTTTCGATACTCGCAACCAAATACGATATCGAGAAATTTGCTATTCCTATTCGCTATCGAATTGCCCTGCGTTTTGGTCGATTCCGAAACCCGTAGTATTCGTAGCAAGCATGCGCAATACGTGTTTTAATTGTCAACTTAAGGTCTGTTCGGGTTCTTTAAAATACATTGAAAACTATCAGAGGACTAGTTGACCAGTGGACAGTTTCCCAGCAAACATTTTCTATAACATTAGTTATAACTTTGTTAAAGACGAATTTACTTATTGAGGTAATTATTACGTAAAATTGACTAGAAAAATATACCTCTAATGTAAATTTACCAAACGGTTTTAATTTATATTTAAATTTACGTAAATTCTACCAAAAAATCTACCTTTTACACAAATCTGCTTAAAAGTAACTTTAACCATATCAGCAAGGGAAAAACTACTAAAAAAACTAACCAACAATTACTTCAAAGTTAAATTTTCTTTGTAGTAAAATTAGGTGCCATATCTACCTGTTTGGCAACTAAAAATCGTCTTTATAGTAGAATATCCAACTAGGTAGATTTGGTTAAAAATTCTACGTAATTTTATGCCTCCATAGTAACCTATTTGGCCGCTTTTATTTACTCTCCTTTAAAGTAATATTAGGTCGAGATCGTAGCAAAATTCTACCTGTTTATCTACCTAATTTCAACCAAATAGTCAAATAATAATTTATTTAGCATTCAGTATCCATATACAATAATAAAATACATTAACAAGTTCAAATAATATGTAAACTGGTCGCCCATTTATGACCAATTGGTTGCGCATGGGCTGCCAAATCATTACCTAATGTTAACTTAATATTGTGTGCTTATTTGATTCTAAAATACATTAAAAAAAAAATATAAAACGGATATTAAAATAACTAGAAACATACAATATAATAACTCAGTTATAGACTTATATAATAATAATAATAATAATAATCATAATAATAATTATAATAATGATAATAAAAATAATTTTAATAATATTAATAATAATAATAATAAAAACAATAAATTGAATATATTTTAATAATTAGAATAAGTGAACAAAAAAAAACCAATAAAAGTAATTTATAAACTATAGTGGATTAAAAGGAAGTATATTTTACAGTACAAACACCAAGATCTAATAACACATTTTATCACAGTTAAATTTTTCTTTTTTTTTTTGCTAATCGATCAGCGCTCTCATAGCTTTTCTGTCACTATTTATTATGAATTTTTTCAATATTTGTTTAAATAGCTTAGAGGAATTTATTGTATATAAATATGTCTTATATATATCTGGAAGAAAATTAAAGATTTTTCCATTTAAATATTGGTAAAATCTTTGGGAAATTGATTTATTGACAAGGTGAGTATATACTAAATATTTATTTCTGGTGTTGTAAGAATATGTTCTTTTCTGTAAATTGTGTTTATTTTTGTATGTACATATATAAAGTGACTGCATATACATACAGCTGTCTAACATCCATAATTTTGACTTCATCAAACAAATGATCTGTGGGGTATCTAACCTTTTTATTATGTATTATTTTTAGTATTCTTTTTTGTAATATTTCCAATTTGTTAATATGATTTTTTGTTGCGCCACCCCAACAGATGATAGCATACTGAAGTCTACTTTGAAACAATGAGTAATAAATAATTCTTAGGTATGTAGTACTGATTATAGTTTTAAGATATTTAAATTTAAATAATAACATTCTTAAGGTGTTAGTTAAGCTATTTATGTGTTTATCCCATCGTAAGTGACAATCCAAGGTAACGCCTAAATATTTTATTTCATTTTTTTTTTGTAGTGTGAGTGTTTCGTTGTTATATGTAAAACTGAGGTCATTAAAAGATGGTAAATGATTAATATAGCTAGCAAAAGGCAAAAAAAATGATTTTGTATAATTTATTGTTAGTTTCTTATGCGTACACCAATCCACTATTCCTTTTATATCATTTTCGGCTTCATAATAAATGGCTGTGTCGGCAAAACTCACTATTTGTCCTGCAGTCTTTTGTATGTATAAGTTGTTTACATATATTGAAAATAATGTGGGTCCTAAGACGGTACCTTGGGGAACACCAGTTTTTATCATTCTCTCTCCGCTAAATTCGCTGTTAACTTTTACTTTCTGATATCTGTTCTCAAGATAACTTTTGAAGAGATTTAAAGTCGGTTCTCGTATTCCCGTATCCTCCAAGGCCTCTAATAATAGTCCGTGATCTACGGTATCAAAGGCCTTTGCAAAATCCAGAAATACAGTTAGGGATGGCCTATTTGCATCTACCGATTGATAAATCTTTGTCAACAGTTCCAGAATTGCATCAGTTGTAGAGAGCCCTTCTCAAAACCCGAATTGTTTATTAGATATGATTTCGTATTTGTTTAAATACTCCTTTAATCTAGTGTTTAATGCTTTTTCTATAATTTTTGTAAACGTTGTGATTAATGTTATCGGTCTGTAATTTGTTAACATTTTCTTGTTGCCTTTTTTAAATATTGGTATTACCAATGATTTTTTAAGTTCACTAGGAAATTCCCCTTTTGTAATTATTTGATTAGTTAAATGTGTTAACAGTGGTGTAAATATTTCGGTGTTTTCTTTAATAATTTCAGTGGTAATGTTGTCTATTCCTGGTGATTTTTTATTTGGAAGTGATCTATATAATAATATTTTTTATTTCTAATTGACTCATTGGTAACAGGACCATAGAATTTTTTTGTACATTTCTGACAGGGGAATGTGTATATGGAATTCCCACTTTATCAGCAAGTGTTATACCTACTTCGGCAAAAAAATTATTGAATTCCTCTGCCAGTAATTTTGGCTCTGTTACTGCATGGCCATTTTCTGTGAGTATTTCTTGTATTTCATTATTGTTACTTTTTATATTATTACCTTGCAGTTCTTTAATAACTTTCCACAATCCTTTAGCGTTTTCTTTATTTTGTGTTATTTGTTTTGTATAATATTCTCTTTTTGATTTTTTAATAAGCCTATCTGTTACTAGCCTATAATTTAAAAAGATTTCTTTTTTTTCAATATTTTCTATGTCTTTTTTATAAATATTATGTAATCGATTTCGTTCTTTAATTGAATTAATAATACCCTTAGTTATCCACTGTTTTCTTTTCTTAGTTTGTTTTTTTTCATGAATGAGTTTTGTATTTTGATCCATGTATGTATTTATTGTATCTACTAGATAATTAATTATAATTAATTAATAATACTCATTTAGTTGACCTAGAAGTCATCTTGAAGAAATATTTATTAACTTTGTTGTAGCAATTACCTGAAAAATCTATCACAAAGTAAATTTGACTAAAAACCACCAATTTAAAAAGAGTCATACATGACCTATTTGTAAAATTTATATTATTTAGGTTATTTTAACAATTAGGTTGTTCAGTTACTGTCTTCGTCATTATTCTTAAGAATTTCGGAATTTAAAAAAAACCATTACAGTCGTAATCTTAATTTACGTGTGGTGTAGATAGAGCTTTAAATGAGTGCGAAAAATAATTAATAAAATGAGTTCGAAAAATAATAAATCATATCGTTATACTTCCGATTTTTATCGTAAAATGAAACGTCTAAAATCTCAAGTGCAGAACAACGTGACCTAAATATGTTATATTTACCTATAAGTAAATTTTTTTAAAACTTATAAGTTATTATTTCTTTAAATAGGTAAAGTTAACTAATATGTCGTGAAATTGAAGTTAATTCAACTTAGTAAAAAGGTATTTGTAAAATACGTAGATTTCCTTAGTCATAATAACTTTTAGGTCGAATTCGCACAATACGCCATATTTTCTTAACGTAATTGAAGTAGATTCCAAATTTTAAATTTTTAAAATGACCATAACTAGAACATACGAATGAAAATACCGAAAAACGAAACATTATTGATTTTCTAAAGTGATACACAACAAACGTAACATAGTTTTAGCTCATAATATTATTATTTTTTTACACCATCATATTTTTTTCTTATATTATTTAATTAGAGAGTATTTTGGAAGGGCATTGTTATTTTTCTAAGTAGAACTGTTAACA